CTTGATGCCGGGAAGTAGCTTCTAGCAACTAAGGCTGCAGCTGAGCAGGTGGCTTCACTCTACACATCCCTATTCCGTGTCTCACCTGTTTTGAAACTCAATGGCATACTGTGTGATACAGAGAATTCAAATGACACATGCAGCTAGTGACGAGCCACCTGAAGAGTCCCACCAACTTGGCGAACGGATGGTAACCTGATAATCGCAATTTGCGCATCCCCGTTCTGAACTCGAATTGTTGACTCCCAAAAAAGGTACCATGTTGCAACATGTCTTGAATTGCTATGGTCACCAAGGGTGCAGCCGACGGTCTAAATCACAAACGGGTGGGCCTTCTATTGTACAGAGGTCCCCTTGAGAATCTAAATCTAATCCATGCCATGCTTTGGACACGAGCGCGCTTGCACTCCACAGTTCACCCAAAATGGGTGTTCCAGACAGTGCCTCCCAATGACACAGAGTTTTTCCAAGTTTTTTCCTTGCTCTTTGCATTTCTGTCTGAATGCTCATCAGCCAAGATGTGGTGCTGCATTCTGATTTGGTATGTTTGTCACGCACCGCAGTTTGAATCACTGGGGCACTGCAGTGGCTTGCATGCAGCTCGTCAGAAGCAGTTTTCTCGCTGCCAGCAGTGACGAGTTGCTTCCGACAGATCTCACTGCCTGGTGTGAGAGATTTCGATGTGAAGTAACGTCATAAAGTTAACCCAATACCCAATGTCCACCTTTTGTAATAGACGATGGCTTTCCCATTACACAATCAAAGCCCCCAAATATAGTCATTTATAGGATTTATATAGGGGATGTCCAATTGCCATGTTTGATTACGGGAGGCCGGAGGGTAGTGCTTCAATTCCTCCTAATTATGGAGCTTTATGGATCTCCGCAATGCCAAACTGAGTTTTGAACCATTTGACTTAAAGATGCTCGTTTTTGAGCAACATATCTTGCAAAAGGCAAGAAGACACACACCGAACCTAGAGTTTGCAGCTGACTATTCCAATAAATAATAAATGTTGAAAATTCCAGTATCGATGATCCAAGGATAAGGAGGACACATTTACTTTCATCATAATGGTACACCAGAACAGAATTCCAAGATTCTATAGTATAAGAACATCATTGGACATCATTAGAACACAAAACTACGCACCATGGATGATGGTTAGTACCCTTTGGTAATTGAATAGTTGACTCTGGAAAATCAACGTTTTTAATACTCGTAGGTAGTTTATAAATATATGTAGGTAAAAATATAGGTAAATCATGGTAAGTCCATCTATTTCTATAGGCAAGTGTCCTTTTAGCTACGTGACAATTTGCCGGAGAGTAGGAGGAATCATCCGGACATATCCCAAGAATCGACAGCAATTCAGGTTTCACACCAGGCTGAGGGTTTGCCGGGGGTCAGTGTGGCTCAGATTTGGTGGGCTCTCACGCCTGGAGGCTCAGACAGGATGACGGTGTGACGTTGGATTCCAGTGGAAGAGACCCAAGGGTAGGACAGTAAAGACAAACTTGGCAAGTTTCAGCCTTAAGTTGGATGGTTTGATATTTGTTAAAATATTGTGTTTGATTTGAAATTGGATGAAATTGGTATCATAATCATAATCCCAACATATCCCAACCCAAAAATCTTTGGTGTGTCAGCGGTTTTAAATCCTGGCTTGACCCAAACGTCCATCAGATACGGTTTTAGGATCCCACTGATTTGGGCCATAGGGTGTGTCTAAAAAGGGATCTACCCGGTAGTATACCCCACCACCCCACGATGGCAATAGGGAGATATAGGGAAAATGATGATAGACCGAAGGATTTAGAGAGATTTTCAGAGATATACAAACATACCGACCCACAGCATCCCACTTTTGATGTGACACCAGCGGCCTAAATAGCGGAAGCAAGCGACTCCTCAGACTAAGGCCTCATCCTCTAGCTCAGCTGGACAATGCCGTGGCAGAGTCGAACTGACCTTTGCAGCTCAAGTTTAATTGTTGCTACTGTAGCTATGGTTTCCCATGTTGCAGCTCGTGGCGCGCTGGAACCGCGCCGCTAGTGAGGAACGTTGCTGCATGTTGTTTTTTGACCCGAGATATGTCCAACCTGAAATCATCTGAATTTCAGGGAAATTGGAATTTCCGGGTCAATTGTTTTTATTGATTAATTGCTTGGTGTTTCTCTCTCTTGAGTTCATGTCCGCATGAAACTGTTTCGCCCCGGGCTCAATGCGCTCAAGTGAGCATTGATGGTGGCAGCGTGCCAAATGACGAGCGAGGTTCCTCGGCTTTGCTCTGGTGGGTTGAGTTGCAGCAACCAGTTGTTTTCTTTCTGTGCAGGAACCAACTATAACCAACTACATAAGGGCAGTATCAATTACATACGTCTTGCATTGGATGTTGTTGGTGCGTTTGCTATGTTTTGCTTTTGTGAAACACTATGACTTGGGAGATTGGCCAAATCCTGCAACATCCTGCGGTCCTGCGACCGCAAGTGCAAGGCCGGGTGTCATCAGTTTTCAACATAGAGTCTTATGCAGTGTCTAGATATGTCTAGATGACCAGAGGATATTTGCCTCGCATTCCACTTATACAAACCGCTGGTGGTTTTTTCTGTTGATCCAAGGCAAGATTTCGTCGATAAGTGGGTCGTCTGAAGCAGGATCGCTCGGGTTTGGCAAAGACCGGCGGACCGGCGATGTCATTTTACAGCCGTCTCTGGGAATGGTCATCAATCCTTTAATGGGCATTTATAGATCCACTGAGGGATTCCGAACAATTATAGGACGGATGATCATACCCCCATATACATTTTTCTTTGACCATGGCACACATGAAACTAGAATATCTAGACTTCTAGACTCTAGAATCTGGTATCCTTCTTGAAGAAGTTTCAAGATCTTCATGCAATCATGTCCTCTCAACTGTTCTCAACTGAGCTACGTTTTTTTTAATATAAAAGGGTTTATATAGAGTGTAAACTGGATGTTGCTTTTGGTGTGGTTTTACCTGGCTGGCGTAAGGATTGCGTAGGATTGGCGTAGGCATTTTTCAAGGTTCCAAATATCTTCTGGTTTGCGTAGGCAACATTTCATTGTATTTCAAATGCTCGTACATGATCGGCGTTGGAATCTCACGCTTTAAAATTGATTCAATGTTATCCACAAAAGGTTCAAAGGCACCGGGTTCATTCATGGATAGTTGTCTATACGAACAAACCGTGGAACTTGCCCGGAAGAGCAGCTATACAAAGGCAGCGGAGCAGCTTAAACCGTCTTGATGTTCTTCGCTTTCCACCTGCTTGTTGCTAGATGGGCCATACCTAGAGACTCGAGCGGCATCAAAATTTTGATGCTGGTCTAGCAAAACAGTGTTTCATCTGATTGCCGCTGAAATTTCTGGCATGTGCCGTTCTTTGGGAAACAAATATGGTTTTAGATTTTGGTGTTGGAATGCGCCGTTTTTGCCAATGATTGCACCGTTTTTGCCCGTGATTGCGCCGTCCTTGCCCGTGCAGAATTTCCATTGCGCCGTTTTTGTGGAATTGCGCCATGTTTTCTACATTGCGCCATTCCTGTGGACTTGCGCCTGATTTTTTTGTAGGTTGGGAATGCGCCCGAAATTTTGGATACATGAGTCTCTAGGTATTAGCTCTTGCTTAAGAGGAATGTTTCACCAGATTCCTGCCAGGAGGCCCCTGGAACAGGCGTAGGCTTCGCGTAGACTTCGCGTAGGCACCGCGTAGGCTCGGGTGCCCGGACTGACCACCAGCCCACGTCCGCACCAGTCCATATTCGACACATTGAACCGCCCAGAACTGCCCTTCACCAAGCTAGCGACAGTCGAACACGTCGCTTGGCTTGACTCCAGCATAGTCAAAAGTTACTATAGCTGAGTCTTCAGTGATTTATCATGATTTATCCACCAGATGTTTAGTGTGCGCTTTGGGACCTGGTTGCTGGTGCGGCTGCTGCACATGGGTGTGGCTGCAAGATGTCTATGGGCACTTTGGAGCCTGGGCGCTCGTGCTGCAAAAATGTGAATGGGACTGTGGTCGCGTAGGCAAAAGTTCCGTTTCCAACCTTCCAAAAGCAAACAGAAGTGTGACGGCGTAGGCAAAAACATACATTGTGGCGTCGCTTTATGCGGGCGTTGGGCCTGCGTAGGCACACCTTCAAAGGGATGAGCCGCGTAGGCTCCCACTGTGGCCGCGTAGGCATTGCGTAGACAGTGGCGTAGGCAGCACAGGAGTAGACGGACCCAGACAACAAAAAAAACACAGCTCAACTGACAATGGGCAGACACTTGATCGCAACTTTTCTGGAAGGTTGCGGCAATGAGTCAGAATTCCAGTTTCCGAAACGCCTTCAACATGTAGGGTTATCCGTGTGAAGTCTAGTCATTCCCTTGTGCATGGATAGACAATATCATGATATATCATAAGAGATGATATGGGTTTGTCTCAAAATCTAGAAGCTCATTTCCCATGTTTTTCCATCATGTCTCTCATTCAAATTTACATAAAGAAGTGGGGTCTCCAGCATGTTGAGAACCCAACATATCGTATGGTTGCATGTATCCCGATCCCACTAATAGTTCCATAGTTCCATACATGAAATATATGAATATGAATCATGCCTCATGTTGGTTAAATCTCATGTATTGGGTTTGACCTTCCAAGACCTTCGAATCTCTTTGCAAACCCTGTCGGTCCAGAGGGAGCTTTGCAAATCGGAGTGGAAGGCGTTTGGTGCAGGGGGACGGGACAACCCGATCAACAGCAGTACCGGTTTTATGAGAAATATAGCGGATAAAGGGATCAAGTGGCATGTGGTGGTGATCATGTTTTACAATGTTTTACAGACATGGTGGATCAACTGGAAACCAGCGGGTTTGGCTGGCTTTCACCAGTTTCGACGAAGCAGCATGGGCTGAGATTCTCAACATCAAATCATTGTTCAAAGCTTTGTGCAAGGTTCGTTCGTTCTACGAATTAGTTCCCGAAATGACGGAAATGTTCGAGGTGAAACGTGTTAAGGTGTGCCACAACGCCTTCTGTTCCGCTGGAGTAGCTCGCCCTATCTGGTAGTTGCGCATCTGAATTTTCCTGAACTACCAGCATATTTTTGGGCCAAAAGAAACTGGCGCACGGTTCACCAGGGACCCAAACTCTTTGCGACGTGAATCGACGTCTGCAGTAAGGGTAGTTTGCGGGTGATTGGCCGCCGGTCTCAAGCTCTAAGCTGCTGGGATAGGTGTGGGCCAGCGTGCCTGGTTGCAAGAGAACCCCCTCCTTCCGTGCAGCAGAGAGCTTTAATCACGCAGGTTTGGTTTTCGGAACGCTTTGGAATGATGGGGGGAGTGCCCAATAGATTCATGGCGCAATTTGTGACCCAAGATTCAGAATGCATGCCCCGAGCTTCGCAGAGAAAGTTGTGCGACATGGGCACTTTCAAGTGAGGCGATGGGAAGGGATAGAGATGAAGTGGAGATAGATCGAGGATGATCGAGGTAGTTCAGTCACCTTGATTGTATAAATATGTATAATACTGTATAAACATGTTGTTTGGTATGTACTGTATGAACGTGTATTAAGCAATTGATGCCCCAATGTTTGTTAGTTCTTCACCTCCACATCTTCACTGGGTTGGTGTTCAGATCCCACTGGGTAGTGGTTTACCCATTGATTAGTGGTTTAATGTGGGTAAAACAGTGCCATAAACCACCCCATGTTTGATGCTTTATACAAATAAAGATGGTGATGACTTGGGGATGGTTTATGGCATTGTTTGACCCACATTACTCGATATTCTATGAACAACATGACCTTCCCATTCTGATGTTCGCCGGCTGGGCCCAAATGACCAGCCCCTCTCCCGGCCAAGCCCGGCGCGGAGGCGTGGTACAAAGCAGAGGGTTTCACGTTTTTAACTTATATATATATATATAATTATATATATATATAACATTTTTTGACATGGTTGAAGGTACATCTAAGAAATCGGCCCCCAGATGGTAACATGGGGGAATAATTGCGTGGCATTGTTTGTGACATTGGTCACCAGCAAAAGGTAGAGAATGGTTACATAAGCATAAGCAACTGTACTTGGGGCTTGGTGGTCAACCTCTTATATAATTTTGAGCAACATTCTGCAACATTGAGCAAGGAAGCTGCAGAAACTGAATAGTATTTTTGAATGGAGTAGCTAAGTTTTGCCATGTGGGGTACAACTGAGTGACATGAATTCAACGTACGCAGATGTTGTCAATTGTCCGCATTCATCGCGTTGTCTTAGATGGGTAAAACAGAAAGGATGCAGTGCATCACATCTCTTTCAAACTTTCATCCACATGGGGATGGAACACATACTTTGGTCATATTTAGTATCACCTCCTATAGCTGTGGGTTTTCCTATAGCTGGGGTTAGGTGTACCTAATTTTGAACCACAACCACATTGTCCGACCAGCGTCGTTTGGTCCGGACCTGCAATGTTTTTGTTGCTAGCCATCACATGATTAATGGGTGGCCATACCACCATTAATGGGGAACCTTAGTGACCACATGTGTGTATATATATATATATACATACATACATATCTATAATATATAAATATATATTATATACATATTATTAATATGCATACTTATTATATATATATATACGTTCGATATTATCCGCATGGTACATTTATACATATGGATGCCCAATCATGGTTGGATACAGCATCTTTTGACAATGGCACGGATGATTTCAGATGTTCCAAGCCTGTTTGAATTACCATATTTTGGGGGGATGAACATCCATAACATTACCAGAGATTTGGTCACCAGGTTCCATCAGTTTTGACCGTTGACACTGGCCCCAGCGGGTTCCTGGCCTGGCGGGTCGATGAGAGCTCTGCGGATCCACAGGTGGTGCCCGCCGAGAGAAATGCAGTTAGGCTCCAGTGGGTGGGATCCGGGCCCAAGGATTAGTTTCCTGAAAGCTTGGTGGTTGTGAACATTTTTTCTGCAAAAAAAACTACATGTAAATGATATATGAATATATATATGATGAAATGAGACCCGTATGGCCAGAAAAGTCACAACAAGTCACTTTCGTATGATAACTCTGCCATGTGACTTCCGACCAGAATCCAAAGCCTTGGAAGAAGTTCTGATCTCCCCAGAGATGTTTTCATCGTCGCCACAGAAACCCCGGCCCCTTAATGCCATCATTGTGTGGGACAAACCTGCTGTGGTTGAAAGAATCTCTCGATTCTATCTCCATGGTTGCTGGCCATCACATATGATATCATATTATACAGGATGGGGCCCTCAGATAGCTAAGTTGCCTTGTAAGTGGTTTAACTATGGTTTATGGTAGATATAACAATAGTTAATGGGGGTTATTTCATGGTTTATAAACCAACAAACATCACTGGGGGGGCCCCATCCTGTATCCTATGTGCTGTTTAAATCTCCAGTTTGTATCCCCAGTGGATATCCCCTGTACCATGGATATTCCCATTACTTCCCATATGATGGCAGGTTTACCCTCCTGTAAACTCATATAGATGTGGAAACCCACCATGTGTATCCATTTGTAGATTTGTAGATGATTTTCCCTAGGGTAAGCCATGTGTTTACATCAAACCACATCTCTTTGCCCCATGGGCTCGACATAGCTCGCCAGGGCTTCTCGCGCTGTGCGCCTCGCTTGTAGCACCCTGGCGACCGTGATTGAGGGCAGGGTACATTGGACCAGGGGAACCCTCCCAAAAACTAGGCAGTAATTTGCCACTGAATTTTGGAGTTGGAATGTTGTTTGTTTTATACCCCATTTTACAACTTGGCGCTTTCCATAAACTTTTGAACACATCGGGGTTGTTCGTGGGTTTACCATACGATTTTGGGGATATCTCCTGTTCTAAACCCAACAACAGGTGTCAAATTTTGAATCTCAGCAGGTCGACAGAATCTTTACAGGAAACCATTGTAATCATATTGTGATGGAAAAAAAATAGTTTCCCTTACACGGCCCCTTGAACCACCACAGTGAATGAAGCCCACATCGTGGGTAGGGGAAACCTACGCATCACAGGGGTTGACTGAATTCCCCGAGGTGGCGCAGGAGCAGCCTGGAATCTTCAAGCGCCTAGCCGCCGCGGGAGAGGCTGCCAGTCAGTTTTTTTTTTTAAACGGCAAAGTGATGAAGAAATGGTGTGGTCCTGGGTTGTTGTGGTTTAAGTAAGATAAGGACAAATACTTGAAAAGTAAACCAATATATACTTCAAAAGAAATATGTGTTGCATCATATTCGTAATGCCATGGTTTGGGATAGATATGGCTAAATTTGTTTGTGAGATTCAGTGAATTTCAGACAAACCATTTATTCAACTAGCCCCAAGCTTTAGTTCCATTCCTCGTCCATACATGTTTTTCCAGTTTTTAGGAGCAACTATTATAGTAACTGTAATTGATTGTAGTAACTATTATAGTAACTATTATAATAACTATTATAGCAACTATTATAGTAACTAATGGCTTTGGAAGGTCTTGATACTTCACCAATTTTCAGCGCATTCTTTTCAACCAGGTCCTCCAGGTCAAGCCCGGTCAAGCCCGGTCAAGCCATCCGAGTCGCCAACCAGGATCTTCTGGAAAAGGCCTTGAACGTCGCCTGGCACGGAGCTGGGTGAGGAGTTTTAAACGGCAATCGAAGGATACTTAACATACACTTATCATTAGCATGCCAGAAAAAAAAAAAAAAAACATTATCGCTAGAATTTTCAACGTTACTATATATAATATGTCTATTGTTGTTACTAGTATTATCATCATGATTGTTACTATCAGTATTATGATTATCAGAATTTATTATCATGAACAGAATTGATTATTAATTAACATCATTGAACATTGTTATTAAAAATAATCGGTATGATGTTCATGATGTTCATGATCTTCATTTACTATGTCTTTGTGTTAATTATGTAAATATCATGTCGATATCATATAATATGGGTAAAACAAGAATAAACCATCCCCCAAATCACCATTTTTGTAGGTGGTATGTTTACCATTCCCAAATGGGTTGTTTATGCAGAGCTTCTGGCCATCGCCCGAGGACTTTGACGCCTGCTCCTGCAGCTGCTGCCAAGCCACCGCTCGCACGGTGCAGGAACAGGAACGCTCCGCGGATGGCACGTGACCCGTTGGAAAATTCCACCGGAGGGGATGTGATGCACGGAGACTCAACCAATTTTGGAGGTATCATGGCAAAATGATCTATCTATATAAATGGGATGAATCGTGGATAATGGATAAAGGTGAATACTTATTTTTAATAACTATGATAATAAGAATAACGGATAAGATCACCCCAGTTAATCCAGTATGATAAGTAGGGGCAACATCCACTTACAACTGGGGTTCCAACCCACTTGCTAGCTGGGGTAAGCAGACATGTTTTTAGCATAAACATGGACCAAGATCATTAAGAACTATTAAAAATCCCTGTCGGTTGCTGATGAAACAGTGATACTTTATGACAGTTTAAAGGCTTCAGGCCTTTTTATTTAGCCGCCAGGTATAGATTTTAACTACTAACAATGTCTAGAAATTGGGAACTATAGTTGATCAATGATGGTTAGTCAATGCGGTTGGTTGATCATTATAGTGGGTTACACCACCAATCAATACGTATACGTAGTCCACAATGGAAAATCATATTAATCAATCAGTAGAACGGCAAGTTTTTGGTTGGAAGATGATAATAAGCCAACTGTATTGTTCTTAATAAAATGAACCATTGCCCATTGCTACAGAAAATCAGAATCTGGCCAGCGTCAAAACTAGTCAGATAGCCACCGTGAGATTGATATAGCCGCTGACGAATGATATTGATGTGTCTGAAAATGGGTGTGATACACCAAAATAGCAATTTCACTCGGACAATGATGATAAAACATATTAAAACATCAAACTTAGGGCTACCCTATTTTCAGACTCAGAGAGCAGGCGGCCATGGCCCCGGGCCTGGAGATTTTAGGGTACACCATTTGACGTGATCCAACATGTTTTACATGTTCAGCTGGCGCCGAGGTCGCTGGTGACGCACAAGTGCATCCATCCATACCCTGCCACAGAGAAATGTCCAGCAGAGTGTGTTGCACGTGATGCAGACCACAGTTTGGAGAAGGCACATTTTGGGCAACGTGGGCTGATTGGGAAATGCGATTGGGAGGATGCTTTGAAGTCACATTTCTGGAAATCTGAAAGGTTAGACCCCATTTGAAAACCCGTACCTGAAAGAACTCGTCCGATTCATCCCACTAAATCACCAGTTCAATCGGTGTAACTTCCATCAGGAAATTCTTGGAAAGCGCAACAAACATCTGAATTTCTTTCGAGGTCTTGCTTTGGGCTTTGAGGATCGACATCACTGCCACATATACCCTCTGGTTATGACTAACATAGCCATGGAAAATCCCTTATAAATGGAGGTTTTAATGGGAAAATCATCTATAAATGGGCCATTTTCCATGGCTATGTTAAATAACCAGATGGTATCTCCCAAATCTAGCAACCAGATCAAGGTCTGTGGGAAATTCGGGCAGTGATGTTGTTGAAACCCAAATCCATCTCCTGATGTTGTTTCGGCAGGAGCAGTTTGTGAGTCGTGGAGCCGCGCTGGATTATGGGCGCTATTGCTTCCACCATTGCGTCCCTACGATGATGATCAATGGCACCCTGTCCATGCCTGGGATTAATAAAAGGTCGTCCCCAGGGTGTGGAAAAACAGTGGAGAGGTTTTTGTATGTAATGATTTCTCATGGTGTTCTGTGGGACCATGTATCTCTAGATCCTCCCTCAATCTCCCTCATATTATCTACAAATACAACTGAACAGAGGAAGTAGCATAAGCACCCATTTGCAACAATCGACAGTCATCATTTACCATTAATTATCAACAGCAACCACTAACAACTGCCATCAGCAACTGTCAAGAACAAGCATTCATGACATTTTTGACAATCCGTTCTATATTAGAATATATACCCCCCTCTAGGAACCCTATTTTAGTGCTTGATGTGTCCATTTGGAGGCCTAAATTGGGGGTATTCAGTGTTGGGGGATGGATTACAAATCCGGGATCCTGCCCTTTGATGTGCGACCAAACATACCAACGCAAAAATGGAGCACGAACATGGGAGCAAAACATGTAGCAGGATGGGATGCAATCAATTCTTGCTGGGCAAATCACCATTGCGTCCGCGTGAGTGCTGGTTATAGCACCATATGTTCCACCAATTTCCACAATTTCAAATTTCACCATCTAAAATTCCTACTAATAGTGGGGTTTAGACTTACATCATGGGATAATCCAACTAAATTGACTTCTCACCCACTCACCCACAATTCGCCAGTTCCGTAGAAGCGTCCCCAGGTGGCAGCTGTTCCCTGCCGGAGCAGCTTGCGCAGCAGCGCCAAAACGCCTCGGTGTTGCCCAGTGCTGTGGACAGCGCGTGGCATCCGGACCTCGAAATGGCCAAGGTTTGGACGGTGTGGACATGGGGATGGCCATGGACAGAAACCAAGGGACGCTTTTTGATGTTTCTTTGGGAGAAACAAACTGGGGAAAAAAAAACATGTTTTTTCCAACTGGTTTGATGTTTGATGCGGAGGTTCATGTACTTTGGGTTGGAAGCGTTGGTTTTTTTTTTTCGGTAGGGCTTAGAAAGGATACAAATGGCAATTCAACCAGCAGAAATGGTGATTGAAGCAGGGAAATCCTCATTTTGTTTGGGTATTGATTGCGTTTATTGGTTCACAAATTTGGACTGGGGAAAAATTGTGAGTTTTCGACTTGGTAATCAAAATGGCGATAGGATCAAATCCATGAATATTGTTTTTCTGGTCAAGGGTGAGTGAACGGTTTGTGATTGCCGGAAATGTCATGTCTCACACGTCACGCTGCCCAGCCAAAAAGAAACTTGGGGGTATGTGGTGATCATGTCTCATGTAGACATCCAGGAATATCCAGGATATTAATGAAGAATCTTTATCTTGGCATGTGATGTGGGAATGGATGAAGAGCTTTGGTGCCGTGAAGATTTGGGATGAGCGTCCTGAATGGTTAATTTTATCACATCCAAACCACGATTCGGATAGATTCAGATCGACTCAGTCTGCTGTGATACTACCAATCACTCAATCAACGACCTGTTCAGTGTTTGTTTGGATTTACCCTCTGGTAATTTAACGTAGCTATTGAAAATGACCATTTATAGTGGATTTTCCCATTAAGAATGGTGATTTTCCATAGTTATGTTAGTTTACCAGAGGGTAGTGTTTGTCTGACAATTTGGCATACCCCACCCCAGCCATTTTTTCAGAGGGAAAACGATGACCACCCAGGAGGCGCAGCCCTCACCGCCACCCGTGGTGATGCCGAAGGAAGTGCCGCTGGCAACGAAAGAGGAAGCGGAAATGAAGGAGGCGGACGGACAACTTCTAGGGCTATGGAGATGAAATCCTGATATAATCCATAGAAATCCCTGACAACTTCTAAGTTATATGATTTGAAGTGACTAAAAGTTGTAATTGAGGGATTTATGTTCTACCATGCAACCTTTAAAAAATGGAATGCATGTCACGATATCAGATCCCATCCAAGATATCCAATGTTGACAAACCTGAGGCTCTAGAATGGATCCACATGGATCCGAGAAGTATCTGCAAGCAACGATGACGAGAGTACACAATAATAATCAATAATACCTTGCTGTTAGACAAACAATTTTTTCAGGATCTACCAGAATGCTGCGACAAGCAAAAGGCTATTCACATATATATATATATGCAACTGGGAAACGGGTGTTTAATATGTGCAAGTCAACAAAACAGCTGCTGCTGCTTAAAAAAAGAAGACATCATGCCAAAACCGTTGCACTCCCAAAAGCATCCAACAAAACAATCCAGCAAAAACTTCCAAAAAATCCATCCAAAAACATTGGACCCCCCTTGGGGAAAAATTACCATAATGTATTTTCTGGGACTAAAACCAAAATCATATCATAACAGCATACAAACTCAACAATTGAACACCAAAGAAATTGAAGACACACACACAACAATACATGATATGATAAGATATGGAATAGAAAATGAAACAGGCTAAGAAGAACAGAAAATGAAACCACTAAAAAACTAAACAAAGATACAAATAATAACAGCATACAAACTCAACAATTCAACACCAAACAAATTGAAGACACTAACCAAAATCAACCAAAGAACCAAGGTATGAGACAGAAAAAACAAAAGAACCAAGCAAAACCAAGAAATGACAAGACAAAACCAGAAGAACCAAGACATGGAACAAGAAATGAAACAAGTAAAGAAAAAATAAAATACTCCCAGAAAAATACAACAAATAAAAAGCAAATGAACCAACAAGAAGGGGGATAAACAATAAATGATACATCATATGGAAGTTGGGCATTGGTCAGTAGGTAGAAAATAATTCAATAATTATAGCAACTATTCAATAATTTCATTCATAACTCCCTACACTCTCTCCATCGCTTAGATCTTCATCATCGCTTGTTTCACTTTCAAGTTCCTCATAAAAAAAAAAAAAATCATTTACATAGTCCAATAAACTAAAACCAAAGCCGTCTCCATACAAAATATTATTGTATGGTGTATCTTCAAAATGGCAAATTATTTGAAACAGCACCTGATATAAAACCTTTCTTTCTTCAATGTCGTTATTCCTCCTCAACCAGTTTATCAAGTTCTCGTAGTCATATAACTCTCTGTAGAAATATCTTAACTTGTAATGGTTGTCATTCTGTTCATCATCATTGTCATATCTGTCAAGCCATTCTGAAGCTTTCATAATTTCATTTTTTTATAACTTCATGCTTTGGAAACTTATGAAGCCTTGTGTAGAAGAAAAAAATCTATTTCAAACAATGAATATTTGTTGAAATTTGGTGCTGAATTAACAACCTCAATCATCTTTTGACATGGCTTACATCTAAAATTTGACGCTACATCCTTACCAATTTCAAATGGCAATTTGTTTCTGAAGATTGAACCGTAATAATTTTGTTATCTTCAAGCAATCATCACAGAACATCTCATCTTCCACAAAAGCAAAAATTGTTGAGAACTCTGTAAATAGCACAGTCCAAATCTTCGTAATTCGTAATTTGATATGTTGTCTCACTTTCAGTGTCTGACATTTTACTAATATATTTATATAAATATGTCTTTAAGTATCTACTCCCAGAATTAAAAATACTTAAAGAGATATTTGTATTAATAAAATATATAGTATTATATCATGAAAAATGTTATTGATTACTTACTGAAAAATAACTTCCATATGATGTATCATTTATTGTTTATCCCCCTTCTTGTTGGTTCATTTGCTTTTTATTTGTTGTATTTTTCTGGGAGTATTTTATTTTTTCTTTACTTGTGTCATTTCTTGTTCCATGTCTTGGTTCTTCTGGTTTTGTCTTGTCATTTCTTGGTTTTGCTTGGTTCTTTTGTTTTTCTGTCTCATACCTTGGTTCTTTGGTTGATTTTGGTTAGTGTCTTCAATTTGTTTGGTGTTGAATTGTTGAGTTTGTATGCTGTTATTATTTGTATCTTTGTTTAGTTTTTTAGTTGTTTCATTTTCTGTTTTTCTTAGCCTGTTTCATTTTCTATTCCATATCTTATCATATCATGTATTGTTGGGTGTGTCTTCAATTTCTTTGGTGTTCAATTGTTGAGTTTGTATGCTGTTATGATATGATTTTGGTTTTAGTCCCAGAAAATATATACATTATGGTAATTTTTTGGGGAACCGGTCACCCTGCCCCGTTCGTCGCAGATCACCTGGGACCTCCGCGCCATCCGCGCGCAGCGCGACCGCGCGGAGGAGGCGGCGGCCATGGCGCGGGCCGTCTACGATGCGGAGCGCGTCAAGTTGCACACCCACGTGGCGCGACCGCGGATGGGTGGAGATCTTGGGGACATTGTTTTTTTTCTTAGAGTTTGTATAGATTTTATATGGATAGATGGAAAATATATGAAGATCTCCCATGTAATTGAGAATATGATTTGGAAAAAGAGGTGAACCCATTTATGGACCCAATGAAATGGCTAGTTCATGCGGAAGATGCAGGCGAAATTATGATGAACCAGTGAATTGGGTAGCCTATTTTCAATTTTTCAGACAAACGCTGATGGGACCCTGCATTTTTGAAAATGATTAAACATACGTAAGTATATGACTGACAATGATGTGTTTGAAGTTGGAACCTCAAGTGATACAGTATGTCAAATTCGTTTTAGTGATTTGATGCAGGTTTCACCAAATATGATGCAGCATGGTTTTGTTTCAGGGTTTTGAGACAAACCAATTTGGGGATGGGTCAGAATTTGGGCTTGGTGCCCAATCGCAACCATAATCCCATAATGATGGGGATGGATCCATTTTTGTTATTTTGTTTTTTAAGCCCCAAATCTGGTTGTTACCAACCCAGGCAGCTTGTGAGTTTTCCCTACAAAATTCGATGGCAATTTGGGACATCATTTCTTGGAGAAGGCCAGGGATTTGCCATTGCCAGAGGGATTTTCCATACCAAAAATTGATACCAGGAATTGGGGCACGCGTTTTTTTTGGACCTGGGATTTTGAGGTACCCAGTAGCCATGTTAGTTCAAAGAAACGCACATAGGATAGATGAATAAATAGATGAATAGCTTGTTAGTTCCCATTGTAATAGGGGCGATGAAGATCAATTTGGCAGCTATTCTAAGGGGTGAACCTTGGGCATTGGGTTTTGGTCAAACAGTTGAGGATTTGCTAGCCAAAAATGACGGGGTGCAATGATACAATGAGACAATTTGACACCATCAAAAACTACGAGGAGAGAGCTCAACCCAAAAAGATGGTATGAGATGTTGATGGGGTTCTATGATACCCTTTAGGATACCTCAGGTATCTTCTGGAATTGTGAAGATTTGATGTCCCCGCTCCAAACATAAGTTTGATGTGGTCTGGAAGATGTTGCCTCCGGAGCTTATGGCTTTGAACGATTTACCTGTGGATCATCGCTTGATCAAACCATTATTAAAATGAAACCTGTTCAAAATATGTTGAACACTTCGATGAATAGATGATCCATTAAAAAACATGAATAGATGATCCATTCGTATTGATTAGTAAATACATTACATATGTTTGCTTTGCTGCCACACTTTTGTGGAAAACTAAGGAGATTAAGCGCACGGCCAAGATGCTCGATCGGGTGAAGCGCCTCGGAATCCAATGGCGGGCACTGAAAGCCGTTCTGAAACCACAACGGTCCCAGGAAAAGCGTCAGCCAAGATGCCAAGAGCTATGAGCCTGAGGTGCTCAAGGCCAAGGTCAGCGGAATGGAAAATAAATGAAAATCCCAATTGATGGAAGAATGCAAGACGATCATCGGATATCATCGGTAATTACCCTCTGGTTATTTAACATAGCCATGGAAAATAGCCCATTTATAGATGGTTTACCTATAAAAAATGGTGATTTTCCATGGCTATGTTGAATAACCAGATGGTAATTATAAATGATGGGGTTCCAGTGACAGGTTCAAATACCGTAAAGCCGTTACTGGCTTGGATCAAGGATGGCTGGACCTTCCCACCTTATAGTCAGATGTGTTCGCGGCAGTTTGCTGGTTTGTGGTTGTCAGGCAAACGCAAGTGCAGCGGGCGATGCTGCAGTCGAGACATATAATGTTCGGAGACTGAGATGCAGACAGACCACAGAAGTGGTGTAAAGGAAAGATGACAAGAATTTGGATAAATTTGGCTGGTCAAACCCTGGGTTTCCTGTAGATATGGCCGGAAAGTTCCGCAATGATCTTGATATGATCAGAAATGGGTTCCATATTTTGGGATCGGTCAAAATTTTCGGTCCAATGGACACACAGATGCTGACCATGTTTCAAACTGTGTTCCTGTATATCAAGCCACCCGTGCTTGGAAGTAGCGCCGGCAATTTTCCAGAAAGGCAACTTCAACATCCAAATGTTCTCGGCAGCTATCATTGTAGGTATATATAGTTCTGTCCCACGTGATCACTATCTGGTTGGTGGTTTCAAACATTTGTTTTTCCATAATATATGGGATAATCCTTCTGATTGACTTTCATATTTTTCAAGATTGTTAAAACCACCAACCAGCTATCATTCTTATGTGAACCACCTGGATATGTCCGAGCTAGGGATTTTCTAGTGGTCCTATTAAAAGGGGTTCCAGAAAGTTCAGTCAAACATAATATCCATTCATATCCCTGAACATTTCGATGTTCCGCAGAGGTAAAATCCCATTTTAGATGCTGAAGTAATGCATGTCTTTTGTCCACATGTCCCATTTTTTTACACTACTTGTCGGTAAAATCCAATTAAATCTTCTTGGTAGATTCCATGTGTTTGTCCATTCCCAGGACATTCCCCAAATCTGGCGAGCTGAAAACTGGGCATTTTCTCAGGTCCTGAAGAAGGCTAAAGCCCAACTTCGCAAGGCTGGTCCCACGGTCCTATATCCCCCAAAGGATAGAAGATCAACTCCTCCGGTGCAGGCAGGCGCCTACGCCTGAATTTCGAATCCCCTTATCTCTTGTAGAGTATGCTAAGAAGCAAGACAAGGAGAAATGAGTAATTAGAGTTGAAGTGAGCATGGTGACTCTCGGTGTTTCACAGCCTCCATTTAGTTGCCTCTTTGGCGAGGCCCCTTTGATACTTTTCAAAAAAGATCTTGAGATATCTGACTTCTTACCCAACCACGTCGCATGGGTTGGAGGTTGACTAATTTAAGCTGCAAACTAGGGATGAGACCCCCAAGAAATTGATTTTATATGCAAAAATGGTGCAAACTTGGATCAATTAATCCTATATTTATTATGGCCGTTGAAATGTGTACAGATCGAGAATGGCGGCTACTGTACCCCAACAAGTAAAAGGAGTATATATATTTAGTTTTTCACGTCTCTGAGACATTCATTTTGCACCGTTCCAGGTAAGACAAGAGACCAGAGAGGTCGCGAGAAAGTACCTTGGTGGGCTAGAAGCGGTTTGGAGGGCTAGAAACTGCATCCTCAATGGAGTTTAAACTTATGCGTACAAAGTATTGTTTACAAACATTGGCTCCCCAAAGGCATTTTGTTAGATCATCCTATGGTCAAGTTGGCAAGAGAAAACATACGAGGTTAATTGTTGTGTGTGTGCATAGAATATGACTAAATTGGTAAAACCATGTAAAACCAATAGTATAAAACCAATTTTGGGCAACATTGATGTATTGTTGTTGTGATATTTGTTACTATTGGGTTTGTTCTTCTTATTATTATCATTTATATTATTGTTATTGTTTATATCGTTATTGCGCTTAGCCAACTGCGGCCTTGTCTCCTCCGAGGATGCTCGTGGAGGCGACGGCCGCTGCGGCTCAGTCGGAGGCCGAGAGCTATGTGCGGCGACTGCACCAGGACGACACCCCGGCGTACCGACGTCAGGTGGGTAGCTGGGAAGGTGGTGCCCCAAATCGTTAGCTAAGTTGGGTACTCCAATAACCTTTGGGTTTATGGTAGGTAGATAGATGATGATAGATGATGATAGATGATGATAGATGATGATAGATGATGATAGATGATGATAGATGATGATAGATGATGATAGATGATGATAGATATATATTATATAATGTTATATAGATTTATTGTGGTTTATAAACCAACTTCTAACTGGGGGGCACCACCTTGTGGGGGGATGACTGGGATGCCCGGCTTTGGTAGCCTATTCTTGATCGGTACAGATATTTCAGATGGCGGCAATCAAGCATGGATGGCATTGTCCTGCAGTTGCGGTGTGGTTTCAGGTGGCAAATGCTGCTAGCTTGCCATATGTCACCACCGCTTCTACAGGCGAGCGGCAAGTCTGGGTTTGGGATGGTGCTGCCTAGAGTATCTATGGTTGAGGATGAGCCTTTGACTCCCAAGACAACTCCAAGTGTCTATCAAAGTTGTTTCATTGAAGATGAGGAATGATAACTTTATCCCTCAGGCAGACTACTCTCAGTGGGGGGTCAACCCATGTATTTATACTCAATTTTTGCACTGACCAACTATGAAGTGTTTTATCACCATTAAATCCATTTAAATCCATTTACAGTGCAGCCTGTTGTGCCAACTTTCCGATGGTCAACCCCACAGGCCGCGAACGCGAATCGCAGTACTTGGGCGTGGCTGAAGAGGATGAGCGAAGAGCAAGGGAGGCTGAGGCGACTCGGCGGTCCCGGAGAGGTTAGTGGATGGAAACCTCCAAAAAGATAGACACGTGTCCTTTACTATCTGAGATATTTTAGTATAGGAATTTATACTAGGATTTTCGGGTTCTATCTTTCCAGATTTTGCAGCAAAAGAAATCCCTGAGATTCCGATTCTATGCTAGATCCCCCAAAGTGCTGGTATCCTGAGTTATGTTCCCTTGGAAACCATTTTCAAAAGCCCAAGATCTCACTGGCCGCCAGATCAAAATGGATGCTCTGGACAAGCAGGCGAAAGAGCTGCAGATTGCTGGAGATAGGCGTTCCGCCGGGTGAAGGATGTGTCGAATGGGATATGTCGTGAGAATATACCGAAGATTCGGTTTTTGATTGGGGGATATTGTATGCAATGGAATATTCATGGGATGAAGTTGTCAACAATATCATTTAAGAGATTTTTTCGGAGCAACTTTGACCAGTCAGATACTGGTCGATATTCATTTATAAGATTTAGCGTCTTAGTTCGAATCGACGAAGTGCCCCTTTCTGTAATTATAGATCTTCTTATAGGCAACAGCTTATCTGAAGGATTATCTGAGGAATTTAAATAATTTTAATAAGATATTTTAAGGAAATTCTCCACCTCTAAGCTGTCCAACCAGTGACCCTGCCTGAGGGTTGCGGCTGGCATGATGAAGCGCGAAGCGACCAGCTGGCGCCACCAGGCCCGATGTCGGATCCAGTTTGGAATGGGAGGCCTTGAACATCGGAATTTCTTGGGCTCACCATGGCTCACCCAAACTTGAAATTTCTACATGTCTATGGCTCCAAGAGGATCCAAGAGGCAAAAAATCCATCAAACCCTGAAATCCAATGATTCTGGATTAATATAGACATGCTCCCTGTAGGTTAGGCCAAAGAAAAAAACCTGTTTGGGCCGCTGACCATGGAAAAGGCAGAAGATGCGAAAGCCTCTGCTGAGAGGCAGCTGGGGGAACGAGTCGAAGTGTGGGCTTCCAATAAGTCATGGACCCCAAATTATCATCCGGTTTGCGGTATCCGAGTTGCGAGAAGCTCTCACATGCTCCGGCGATTAAAGCTGGCAATGGAAAAAAAGACAGAAATCAAATCTCTCAATGGGACACATTCCATTTCCAGGTTACTTCGAAATTAATTTCAAGGCTTTTGAGGAGACCAATGATTTTATATGATTTTATGAACACTTCAAATACGAATTGGCACATATGTATTTATAACTAGATTAGCTACGGTTTCCGGTGATTCTAACTGCAGTTAGATGGATTAATAAACCAACTAGATCCAACTTATACAAATTAGCCCCTTGAGTACCTGCTTACAACCGAAACACATACGGCAGATAGAGCTTTCACGGGGATTATTTATACACAAATATTTAAATCCAGGACGCGACTCCCAATCATGCGCAAACAATTCGGTAGGACTGTCATGATTCAATAAATTTGATTGTTCCTGAAGAAATTGGGATTTCATACTCATAAAACCTCATAAACTCATAAACGGCTGCATGAGTTCTGACATGGTTCCTATCTTGGACAGAACCTGGCAACCACAATGGAACCATCCACATCAGGGGGCACTGGTTTAACTCAGAGGCCGAATTCCCCCTGTCTGGGTAGCTGCTACTAGAAACATCTAAGAATTCACAAAGCATCAATGATTCTCCCCGCATCAAGCATTCTTTTTTGCGCACAGAAAGGAAACAATGCTGTTGGGCAGCACAGGGCCATCCAGTGCCCGAATTAAAGAAGGAAAATAAAGGAAACAAACATGTATAGATATATGCATACATCATTAAACCCATTTAAACCCAGAACTTCAGCGGACACCGAAAGCTCACCCAGTCACAACGACTAATGTTTAACCGAGCCTTTGTGAAGCTGGTGAAAAGGCCGTGAAAATCCCTTGAAAAACCGTGAAAATATGGTGCTCAATGTTTACCAGGATTTCCCGTAACATTGGTAAATTGGTGCCTTTTAGTCAAACCCGTCCCTTGTGTGGAAAATCTACCATGATTATACTTAAGATTTGCCAATTACATAAACACAAGTAAACCAGCCGTTTATGGGGTATTTCCAAATTGCCTCCTTTGACAACCGAAGGGTATGTGGGTATGTGAATGGCACAACATGATGACAGCCACTGCCAGCGCGCAGGAACCGTGCCACTGCGGCAGCTGCAAGGAAGTCCGCATGGAAGCCTGGAAGATCCTGGAAATACTCCGTGAGGTTGTCACCATGGTGGTATTACCATGTATTACCTGTTGTTTTTTGGTAATTTCTTACAAAGTTATGGAGAACATAATCAAAAATCACTATTGTTGATAAATTAATAAATCATCGAACTAACCATACCATAGTGTTAGAATTATCATTACCAACCTCCCATGAGGTGCTGAAATAAAAATGATGAAACCTCAGAACGTTGGGACTTGTTAGGGACTTTTATGGGGATAACCTTTCCATTATTTCCATGAAACAACTTGTAGATGACCCCCACCCTCAACCACTAGACTTCAGGATGAATCTCCTGAAGTATCCTAAGGCTATTGGATGGCAACACGCCGCTGAAGATGCGTCAGCCAGGGATCTCAGATGGATGTTGGAATATGTTGGATTCACCCAATGCCAAAAACCTCCAATTTTGCAGGGTTCTGACCCATTCCTGGCGAAATTGTGGATGATTTTTTTGTGTTATTGATACCCTTTGGTAATTTGTTACATAGCTATGGAAGATCACCATGCTATTCATGGGTAAATCAACTATTTCTATGGCCATTTTCCATAGTTTTTTGTGTGTTTCCCGGGTAAATTGTGTTTACGACATTAAAATATATCCCACATATTGCGTGTTTGGTGAAGGTTGTTCCGTCCCAATTCTTGTAAACGGAAATGGGCATCCTAATCAGTGGTTGGTGTTTTCGTGTTTGGCTAGCAAATGACATCAGCAAAATACGTCCATCACATATTTTCTGTTCCTCAAAGGAAACACCAATTGGCGAAGAGGAAAAACACTATATAGTTAGGTCCACACACACATACACATATCAGGGTTTCTAAAAATGGTCTAGGTTTCAATACTAAAATGGTCTCATGACTTGGATGATTTGAGTGTACCCCCATTTCCTGCTTCCAAGGAACATGTGGCCCATATGTACGACCTGTCGGTGGCAACAACACCCACACCGCCTGGGGTCTTGGTCGATGGCGACGGTGTCGGTAAGGTCGGTGATGGGAGAGAAATTGTTGGTATCTTCAAACTGGAAAGGTGTGGGTTTCATAGATGTCCCACACTTGCACAAGTGTCATACCGGCATGCCCACATAACACATATAAATACATATAACATGTTAATAACAACATGTGTTTTGAAATGAACAGCATGTACAATAGCATGTAATTACTTGCAATCTTATCACCACTGAAACTCGCTTGGTATGGAGGGATGGGCACAGATCATAAATGTCTCACAAGTTGAGGGATGTTGGGGGATCTATGTCATCGATCCTAAATCCATGGGCGAATCATTTGTTTCCCCCCCAAAAAAAAGGATAAAACAGTCATACCACATGTTCAGACACCCAGAAATTAGACCTAAATTACTGTGACCAAGGTCACTAGGCTTGATTCATCCATTTCCAAGGCCACCGTTGGTCGCGATTCCCTTGCCCCCGGCCTTCCGATGAGCCGAGCGCTGGGATGTGGTAAACCAGACACGGAAACCGGTTCCTCACCTGGCTTTCATCATTTTTGTGAGCAATTCCGAGAGATTCCATTGATGCTAATTGACATGAAGAATTGTTATGATTTTATTTGAAACTATACAGAATTACACCACAAATATAAAGTGAAGATCAGTATCATATACTGAATAATATGGATATAATACTCCAACCGGTTTGTGCTTGGCCCTTAGAAACTGCTGATCCATTCGTTGATGGCACGCCCGCGCGTTCGAAGCGATTTGGGCGTCAATGTGTCACCAAAAGGAGGTCGTGGGGCCTGCCACTGGGTCGGGCATAGTGTATACGCTGCGTTCATTTGGAGACTATGTGGATACCGCTATGTTGCTATGTGGATATCGATGGTACCCTCGGGTAAACTAACATAGCTGAGATCCATGGGTTTCCCAGGGAAACTACTAGAAATTGGTAACTTTTCCACATCCATGTTAGTTTACTGGAAGGTTTCTAGTAGTTCGTAAACATTTTGTCATTCAGCCTCAGCACAAAGTTGGATTTAGCCAACAAGAATGAAGTTATTCATTGAAGTAATCCCGTCCCCCCAATATTCACCACCCCCATTTAAGGTCCCAAATATGTGTAAATCATTATAAATCCCGAACAACATAGTAGTTTATTGATGTAATATTCACATATATGCATTATATACTATACATATTCACCATCCGGGTCTAAACCATGGTGTTTCCGTTTTTTTAGATATACTATGAACGGGGGAAGGGATGATTTTTCGTCCCCAAAGGTCCAGCTGAGAGGATCACATGTGTTGCCCGTCAGCCTCGCTGCTTGGTTCACACGGACTTTTTGCGGCCTCCTTGGGTTGTTGCCCAAGGTGCCGGAAACTCTTGGAAGCTTGGGAAGACAGGTTGATGGTTCCCTGTTTTTTTTGGGAACAGTGAGAACTAGTGAGAACCAGCAAATTTTGATGAATCTGACGGATTTAATGTGATTTAATCATTAACCATTGGAATTTCACAGCACATAAACTTTGTGTGAGTTGTGTGTTTTGGTGCTTTGGTGATCTTGTCCATCCCTTGCATATTCTGGGATGCTTAATTATTTACATACTCAGATTGGGAATGTTATGATCAGCCATATGGATTCTATTACACCTCCAATGAATCACCATTCACAGGGCGTAGTATATCTGGCAATAGCTGGCATAGCTGACATAGCTATTTTTCAAATCACCATCGGACCATAGCGTATTACATGGCAATTAGCTGATAATTAGCCTCTGGTTATTTAACATAGCCATGGAAAATGGCCCATAGAAATAGATGATTTTCCCAGCTAGATACCTCCATTTATTAGGGATTTTCCATGGCTATGTTAGTCATAACCAGATGGTAGCTAAAGTTGCCAAAAAAACAGCTTCTTAGGCACAGGCTGTGCCTTGCTGCCTGCCAGGTGGATCCGCCATGGGATGTTCAGGGTCCAAGACCAAAGTCCAAAGCTCAACCGCCACTTCCCAGGCCAAGACGAGGGTGATGGGAGGGACGGCTGGTGGGAAAAATCATGGTTTTAGTGGATCTAAAATGTTGTTGTCTCCGAAATCAACGAGCATGAATTAAAGTTAGAATCTAGAAGTTGTTGGATAATATTTGGATAATGTTGGATAGGTGTTTGCAGCGAAACACTGGATTGGGATGTGTTATGTGGTCAATGCAGCCAATTTCAATTCTCTATTCGTGCAGAACCTGGTTTTGATCCAATGAGTTCGATGTGGGTAAAACTGGCGAACTGATGTTTACCATCCCCCAGTCATCACCATTTTTGTATACGTTTATAGGTGGTATGAACTGAACCATTCCCAGTCATGGGTGGTGAATTGTTTTACCCGACATGACTATTTCAAAGCTGCGGCCTCGATAGGTCTCTGAAGGAGACACTGCGAACACTGCGAGTCCTCAGAAAGAGAATACTCCAGCCAGCAGGGGCACCCAAGGCACCATGGCGTCCGGCGCCAATGATAGAGCGCCATTTACACATTTACACCATTTTACACCATCCAAATAGGAAGAGAAACCAATATCTAGAGAAGTTTAGTAAGACAATCGGAGAAAAGAATGAGAAACTAATGAAACCAATGGCTGGCATTGGGTCAGTCGAGCGTGGTGACATGCATAGTTTCACAGCCTCCATCTAGTTTTATTTTGGCAAGGCTCTTTTGGTATGTTGTGCAGCAGATCTTTGTCCAAGGGCCAAAATTGTTTCTTTGGAACCGAGCGGGACGGCCTCCAAAAATACATATCATGTTCCCCATTTGTGTAGCCTCCGCATCGATGTTCACCGCAGCCGGTTTCAGCTGTCTCCCAAAAGACCATTATAGTTTGTCTGAGAATAGGGTAACCCCAAACTCCGATTATCATCATTTTCCCTATTTAAGTGGCAATTTGGAGGTGTACACCATTTTCAACATACCTGACATACCCATATGGGGGTTTCCATGAATGGGGAATCCCCCAAAATGGATCAAAATGGTTGGTTTATAAATGTTTATGAATGTTTGTAGTATTTTATAATGGAAAATCCCAATCTAAATATGGATGATTTAGGGGTACCTCCATTTCAGGAAACCTCCATGTGGAAACCGCCTGAGGCCCTGGCAAGGCCAAGCCTGCGGCGAAGGATCAGCTTCAGATCCTTGTCCGAAAACTGACTGGAAAATCAAACATGGCTGGAAAATCCTTTTTTAAAACCTGTGAAGAATGATGATTTCATGTGTTTGACCTACGAAAAATTGTGATTTCATGGGAATTTCATGGGTTTTGGATGGGAAATCGCCTGACTAAATGGAGGTTGGAAAAATTTTCGCAGGTTTAAACATGCGAAAATTGTCCGTAAAAATGGTGGACTTTCCAGCTTAAACCATGTCATAGAACAGAAAAAACAGTATACAGTATACAGCACGTTAAGAAACCCTGGCTGTATAATCATTGAATCATTGGCTAGTAAACCAGTATACAGTATCAGTTATGAACCAAATCAGCTGTTTTGTTGATAATCATTGAATCATTGGCTAGTAGTGCTTCGGTCAATTCGGCAAGTAATAAGCATGGCTGGCTGGGAAAAGTCAAGTATATACCAGCATGAACTGTTCCTATTTGGTTGGGGATTATGGAAATATATTACCCTCCGGTAAACTAACATAACTATGGAAAATCACCATTTTTAATGGGAAAACTCACTATAAATGGCCATTTTCAATAGCTATGTTAGTTTACCGGAGGGTACCAGATATTATATACCAGACGGGATCAAAGGGACTTGTTGGAGTGTTCGTGGAATACTTGGATGACGTGTTTGATGACACTTGCCGATATCATCCCCATTCTTTCCAGTGAAGAGGATGAAGTGGCCGCTGCCTCTACTCTCAACGTCCATGAAATAAGGTTGAACCAATTTTAAACTATACAGTGACCACTCCCCTTTGAAGTCACTTATACCACAGAATATTGTTTTGTCCATACATCTTTAATTGGTATCCCCATTTGATACCCCATCAAAAGCATTTGGGTAGCCAAGTCATTGGCACTTTAATGGGCGGAAATGATGATCAACCATGGACGTGTACGTAGGAGGCTGTATCCCCTCATGCTAGGAGCTCAAGTCGCATCTTCATGTTGAATGGCGCCCACTGGCGCCCACTACACTGCACAAAACACAGATTTTCCATGTTGTGATTTGATACTTACTTGTATTATCTTGTATTAAATAATGCATTATTTGTGTGTGTGACCAGTGCGCCGGCTTGCTTTTCCATCCTTGACCTAGTTCCATACTTGGCATCTGTGAAATTCCCTGTGGTGCTTTTGCCCCTGGCAAAATTTTGCAGGGGTCATATGATTGATATGTTTTCAGCTAATCAACCTTTTCCCATGGTTTTCCCATGGTTTTCCCATGGTTTTCCCAGCACCCCACTGGTTTTTGGATTTCGCCCCTCCTTTTTGTCGGCCAGGCCCTTGGGCGATGTGCAGCTTCAACTCAGTGGCGGTGATATTCGCAGCTCGGCGTCCACACTCAGGGGTTGGTAACTGTCCCATTTTGGGAATATTGGACATCACCTGAAAAAGTAGCCATGGCATTGACCATATAACTAATGGTTGGGTGATGTGAAAAATGGGGACATCAGTCATGACCCATGACACTGTTAAATTGAATCATAGATGTGGAGTTATAAATTTTCATAGTTGTACATCTAATATCATCTAATAAATAATTATCATAGAATATATCCATCTAATTCTGTTTGTACATCATCCATTCTTAAATGATCATATGAAGTCTGGGATGCTAGATGTGGAGTTACATTATATATCTATACGTACATTATTGTTTATTGACATAATTATATCATCCAGCTTGTTGTTTATTACTATCATGTTAATATTATGTTTAGTATCCAAAAATTATAATGTATGTTACCTCCAATTAATATGTTCCCTCCGTGCTATCTATCTTATATTAATTGGAGGGAACATATTATAACTATGATTCATCGTCGATTCTTGTTTCGTAAGATTGGGTAAGTCATCTATCATCTACATGATTAAATATCACATCTCATTTTTGAATGATCATCGATTTAATTTGAATTAAATTGTGTACCAGTTTCAATAGGGAAAACAAAACAGTTTTGGGGACATCATCTATAAAGCGAGAGTTCCTTTTGGATATTACAGTATATGATATAATGATAGGTCGACAGATATGACATGATATCATGGAAATGGGCTGTGTGTCACAAGACTTCTTTCATCAGCAAGATGGTCATGTTGCAATGTGATGTCAGACGGACATCAGTGATCGCACAGGCTCCATGCAAACACTGTGGGTGTGGTGAAGACTGTGGTGGGTGTGTCCGAAAATGTTGAATGGATGGAAATGGTGGATTACCCTCTGGTAATTTAACATAGCTATTGAAAATTGCCATTTATAGTGGATTTACCCATTAAAAATGGTGATTTTCCATGGCTATGTTAGTCATTACCAGAGGGTAATCAGTGCATTTAGAGGTTTTTCCCAACATTTGGAGACACGCCCATGTTTTTGTTCAATGGGTCAGCCATCGTCAGCCAGTCCCAGCCAGCAACTGTCCCAAGGCGAAAAATATGAAATCCTCGCCGTTTTGGGGAGTGGTTCGTTTGGAGAAGTACGAGAAGTCGCTTGGTGAAAATTCTGTCGGACTCGGCTCACTTTTTTTACGGGATGAGGAGTGTTTTTCTTTGTATTCAGACATCGGTGCTATTCCATCTCTTACCCTCCGGTTTTTTTACCCTCCGCTACCGAAGCCGTGGCCCATCTTTAGTTCAGCTATGGTGATTTTCCAGTTCGCAGAACTGACTCAGCCAAGGTTAGGGTCAAAGCCTTCCCAGACAAGCTCCGAGCAGTGAAAATCACTGAACGGCAGGAGACGGTGGTTTTTGTTGTGGCGTTGGACGGTCATTTTCCGTGGTCACCATCCTGCAGGTGCACCAGGGGACGATCTCAATGTGAGATCTTTGCAGAGATCAATCTATAATATTAATGAACTTCAGGTGCGTATTAATATTACTCAGCATAGATAATGGTAATGATATATTATATTATATTATATTATATTATATTATATTATATGCTCATTAGATTTATTATGGGTAAAATGGATGCTGATAGGAGGTGACGAACTGAAAAAGGGCATTTCTTAAGCTCTGATGGCTTGTGGCACGGGTTCCTCCCCTCCACTGAGGAAACTTCGAGTTTTTTCTTGGTACGGCTGGAGTGAAGGTCTGTATTGACTCTATTGACCCCAGAGTTCACAGTTTTTTCTGGCTTTGTCTACCCAAGAATCCCACGGATCATGATTTTACCCATGACATTCCACTGCCACTTGGGGCTAATCCCATGGTGTCTCCATGGGGACACCCTGGCACCAGGAGAACGATGGCAGCGAAAAGGCCCAAAAGAAGTGCCTGGAACTGCAAGCTTTGCAGCGCCTAAAGATGGCATGCAGTGGTTAAAGGTAAAACAGCGGAGAAAACAATGGATACTCACAGGAAACAACAGCCAATAGCGAAAAAGATCGAATGGTGGTTGGTCATGAACCTGCTGGAAATATCATAAGTTAACATGTTAACATGTTTATGCTGTTTATGTACGTAACAAGTGTAGGACTTGATGATCAAGGTCCGACTCCTTGAGCATGTTCCGCCGGGAAGTGGATCTCTTGCGCTCCCTGAAACATCCGCGGCTCGGCGAAGAAAACGGAGGTCAGAAATGGTGGTTAAATGGTGCTTAAAATGATGGGAAAGGATGGTACAGCTGTAAAATAACACTAAAAATAACACGGTTTGAAGCGTTGTTGTTTTTTTGGTCTTGTATAATGTTACATATACATATCATATATGAATATATGATATAATATGTATATCCCAACCATGCTGGTGGATTTCATTTGACGGGTAGAGTCATCAGCCAACAGTTCGTTCATCGGTTTCACTGGCTGGTGATCATCCAAAGCAGGCTTGCTGCAGGCAGAGCGAGTGATTAATACAGTGACCGTATGCGGTTGTGATTTCACACTTTGTAAATCTGAGGTGGTACTCATAGGCTTGTACAAAATACCCGGTATCAGACATGTAACCCATCTTTGGCATGGATAATAAAATGACGAATCAGCTTTCCATGGGTTCCAAGTGAGCGTCCTTGTCTGTCCTTTTCTGCAACTCGTGACATCTCAGGAACATTGTTAGAGTATGGGACGTCTATGCCGCTCACTTGCAGCACTTGCGGATGGCTGGAGCCGGCTCCAGGTACTGACTCCACCACAGATGGGGAATCTAGTTACTGGATGTTACTGGGAATATGACTTGGATTGACCCCAAAAACGATCAAAAAAGCAAATCCAGCATAGGCCCAGCATGAAGATGGACCATTTCAGGGAAACGCAGCTGCTAGATGCTACGCTGGCGTTGTTGCTTGAAGCCACGGCATGCCACGGCTCCGAGGAAACAGCTCATTATTTCTATGTGGTCATGGATCTTTGCAGAGGAGGGGAACTTTTTGACATGATCAATGAGGCCGGGAGGTGAGATTATGTGAGATTTTCGCAGCACTTACAGGGCAAATCATCGGTTCATTGGGTGGTTGCTGAAGAAATCTGGGCCACAATGAAGTAAACCTTGCTCTCGTGACTTGTGATGCTGGTGAATGGTGATGATTCCGCTAGATTCGGTACGTTCGTACCATGTTGTCTCATGCAATCAGGATGTATAATCTGATACATATATGATATATATATATAATATACTAGTATATTATATATATAAGGATTGCACGCAACATGCTAGTGGGTTTATATAGTTTATCTGTAACTGATGCATACCAAAAAATACCCATTTATACCCTAACATGGCCATGTTCCAAGATTTCTTCGAACAGTGGATTTAGGGATACCGTGATACCCTATCAGACAAACCCAGACAGCACCGTTCAGCCGTGCCAGCAGCCTCCAAACAGTGAATCCGTGTGTGTGTATGTGTGAATTGCGATACTTTCCACGTGCACTTGCCATTATGTTCACATGCCTTATTTTCAAACCCACCCAAATATCCTAAATTGATAAGTCATACGTGTCACATATCAGATTATATGTCCCATTGATATTCAAATTGAATCAAATTGACATCCTTAATTTCCTTAATAGTATTATATACCATTAATCATTACATCCCCATGATGGTTGGTGTCCAACCTCCCCTTTTTAGACACATCCATGCGATCGGACGCCAGTTGGATCGACTACCAGAGAACGACACCGCAGTAATTGCCAAGCAACTACTGGGTCGCTCGGACATCGCTTCGTTTTTTCCATTGTTCCCTGAGGAATTGGTGAATTGGTGATGGGTTTAGAGTTCCATTGGGTTCCATTAAGCGGAAACGACTGGTAGTTTGTGAAAAAGTGAAAGCTGTTCAACTGGCAATAAATCGGATTCCTTGGTTTCATGATGTTTCATGACAATGAGTACTTATTCAGACACTGATTGATTGTAGAGTTGAGTGTGGCAACACAGTTTTCCACGTAATTGCCCAAGAGTATCCCAAGAGTCTTGGAAGTCGCGGGTTTTGTGGTGTCCCATACCTGGGATGTGGCCTTATTGTGTGGGAAGGGAACTATGAGACTATGATCGATATGCTGTGAATATTGTGAATGGCATAGATGGACTGGGAAGGTTTTTTACTTACTGGTGCTCAGTAGGGAGTGGATGGGAATGGGGGAATGGGATGATTATTACTAGTGATTATGGATCATTCCCTCATTCCCTGCTAAGCACCAGTAAGTTTATGATGATCTGAATTGGCTGTTTCACTGACCTCCATGAGGGATGGTAATGCCGCAGGTGGCATTGACTACATGCATAGCAAAAGCGTCATGCACCGTGACATCAAAGCAGAGAACGTCTTATTGACCGAGTGGTCCGCAACTGCAGTGGCCACTCGGCTGCGTTTTGGATGGCAATGGCTGGCACTGGATGAACTGGGTGTTGTCAGAATCTTGAAAGAAAAATAGGATGATAAAAGATGCAAAAACACAATCTCTTTAGCAAATGGTTGGCATGGTTGGCATGGTTGGCATGGTTGGCACGGTTGGCATCGTTGGCATCGTTGGCATCGTTGGCATGTTAATGTTTGACGTGGACGTGTTCGCCCAACTACAGTACCAAAGTATATTTGTCAAGTGAAACCTGTCTATTTCGGTACACTAATTTCTGTAGTCTCAGAGTAATCTCGCTAGTTTAATAGCATCCTGAACCAGAATGGCCATACTCATTCAGATTGGTTAGATATGGCATCATCTGGCTACATCTTGGAACTTTTCATCATGTTTTCATCAGCCATGTTGGTCACATGTGCACATGAAGCCACAACTAAGGTGAAAATTATCGACTTTGGCATTGCGGCCAAGTGTGAGCCTGAGAAAAACACCAGTGGTTTCAAAGGAAAGGTCGCACCAAAAATAACACGGATTACCCTCCAGACGAAACTCTACTCAACTTCCCAAGCACCGTTATGGCAGGGTCATTTTTAGGGTCAATGTTCATGGGGGGTATGATGTCCTCAATAAGCTTTGGATGGGTCCAAACCTACATATTGATCCTATAATATCCCATATTGAGTGGATGAACATCCATAAACAACAGTTATTTTGATGGGAGCAGTGAACCGAAAACCCAGAAGGTTCATTTGGAAAAATCTTGCAGTTCTACGAACCTGAAAATTACCAGTATTGGAATATCTATACACAAACCAGTAGAAGCAGTTTGGAGCCAACTTTTGTGTTTTCTGACGTCTTTTTACTGGTGGAAAACTGCTGGTTTTCCATCGCCGATGCGCTCCACGCGCTCGCGGCATTCGCAACGTTTCGCTGCAGGTTCCAGCGTGGCGAGATGTTTGATAAGATCTCCGGATCTCCTCAATACATGGCACCTGCAGCTCGGTTTTCATCCACTGGTGATATGTGATGGTTAGGGGAGCCCTTAAAATCTGGGCTGATTTTGGCTGTAAACAGATGTCAATGTTTAGGGTTTGAGAAGGATTTACCCAGATGAGCCAAGATAGACATTTGCCAGCATGATTTAAAAGCAGAATATACTCTAGAAGAAAATCAATGATTTTCGTGGAGAATGCTAAGTCTTGCGTCAAGAGCCCACAATTTCACGTTGTAATCTTGCGTCACGGACCCCGAGGTTGCTAAGGGCATGGCTTCAGGTTTCCATTTCTACCCCCTATTTTTTTTAGCTGCCAGAAATCTGACGAAGCCATCAAGTTGGGCATAAAGACTAAACTAACCCAAGCTTCACCAATTAGATATTTCAATATACGCGTACACAGTATACATATGAAAGATTATAAAAGGATTTGGGGTGATTCCAGCTTTTGCGAGCAGCGGGATTAAGCATGCCACAAGACACTGCCGCAAAACCAGTTCCAGCCCGCCAAGTGACAAACCAAACCGTCGAGCCTGCTCAGGAATTGGTTGGTCAGCGGTATGATTATCGGGTGGACATGTCCCTCGGAACTCATCTGAAGGGAGACATGTTTTGAAAAAGGATCACGTGCTGGTTTGGACTTTGTTGGGAGCTGTAAGCGGATATCTGAAGCATATTGCATTCTGCGCTAGGAACGAATGAGACCATAAGATGATGTTGGATTCAGAAGAACAAGACACACAACCTGGAACGTTGCTATCTATTTTTTCGCATGCAACACAGAGTTTTTTCCCCACATCTTTGCGTGGGGTTCTTGTTTTTGATTCTGTATCCCGCCGCCTCCTCCGCCTCCTCCTCCGCCTCCTCCTCCGCCTCGTCCGCCTCCTCCATCTCAACTTTGTCACACACACATCTTTCACACACAACTTTGTCACACACCATCCTTCACACACAACTTTGTCACACACAACTTGTCACCCACCATGTTTCAACTTTGTCACACACACACACAACTTGTCACACACCATGTTTCACATACAACTTTGTCACCCACCAACTTTGTCACACACCATCTTTCACACACAACTTTGTCACACACTTCTTTCACACACAACTTTGTCACACACCATCTTTCACACACAACTTTGTCACACACAACTTTGTCACACACAACTTTGTCACCCACCATCTTTCACACACAACTTTGTCACACACAACTTTGTCACACACCATCTTTCACACACAACTTTGTCACACACCATCTTTCACACACAAGTTTGTCACACACAACTTTGTCACACACAACTTTGTCACACACAACTTTGTCACCCACCATCTTTCACACACAACTTTGTCACACACAACTTTGTCACACACAACTTTGTCACACACCATCTTTCACACACAACTTTGTCACACACAACTTTGTCACACACAACTTTGTCACCCACCATCTTTCACACACAACTTTGTCACACACAACTTTGTCACACACAACTTTGTCACACACAACTTTGTCACCCACCATCTTTCACACACAACTTTGTCACACACAACTTTGTCACACACACACAACTTTGTCACACACAACTTTGTCACCCACCATCACACACAACTTTGTCACACACAACTTTGTCACACACAACTTTGTCACACACACACAACATCTTTCACACTTTGCGTGGCAGGCGTGACACTTGGCGACATCTACTTTCCTTTTGCCTGGCAGGCGTGGCACGTAGGATCACGTAGGGCACTCTGCTGGCTCTGGTGGCGCGCTTGGACTGGATTGGTCGCCGGGACCGTCACAGACCATCTTTCACACACAACTTTGTCACACACAACTTTGTTTTACTTTTGGATCCTCCGCCACCTCCTTTGTCTTTCCTTCCTTCCCCGTCCCCGCTACAACATTTGGTGCTGATTATTGGAAGAAGTTGCCTTGTGGGGTTTTTCGGTCCTTTAATTTGCAGTCTGGCGATGTCTGGTCGCTGAGGTGGGCATTTGGAATCCTCATGTATTTCACACTCTATGGCCGATATCCTTTCGATGGCAATAACGTGCGAGAGATCTTGCTCACGGTCCTACATGGGACCGTAGATTGGGAGAGCGATGTGTCCTGGCTTCAATAAGAAGGGGGTTGAAGGTTGAGCTAACTTATTAGAATAATATGCAAAGCATAACACGGGGATACTGAGAATATACCAGCCATTTAATGATGTTTATAATATATACATATATGTGTCAGTGTGTATGGTTATATATCATGGGATATATCAGCAGTACTATGATTTTTGGCGCTGTCTGAAAAGTATACCCTCCGGCAGATATTGTTAATGAACAAGTCAATGATAAGGAGTATATACCCCAAAGTGTTCGAAACCCCTAGTGTGGGTTTGGCATGGTTTGAGTCAAAACTGAGCGGTCAACGCACCCACATATTCAATTATATTCAGGTATCTTTAGTTTTGAACCGACCATTTACGGGATCAAGATTTCTGATCCATACCAAAGGGGTCTGTCTGAAAATGGCGTACCGCGAAATCCACTAGTGAATCATCATTTTCGCTATTGAAATAGCAATGTGGCCGGTATACCCCATTGTCAGACAAATCCATATGGTGTCAAGCAAGCAATCAGTTTTTAAGATATCGTTGAAACGAAACTGGTTACATTGCAGTTTGATTGCCACCACGGCAATCCACAGATGTTGTTAGATTTTTCCCCACCTGGGTGAGGATTGTTAGATTTTATGTCAGCTGGCCTCCTCCTCCTCCGCCTCCTTCTCCTCCTCCTTTTTCTCCGCCGGACCTCAACTGGAAGCTCGCGATGGCAGTGGTCCCGGCTGGACCCGAACAGCAAGCCCAAGATCAGAGTGTTCCCCGCCGAACCTCAACTGCAAGCTCGTGATCGCAAGCCCCGGATCAGAGCGGTCCCTGCCGGACCTCAACTGCAAGCTCGCGATCGCAGTGGTCCCCGCCGGGCCCGAACAGCAAGCCCAGGATCATAGTGGTCCCTGCCGGACCTCGACCACAAAGAATCTCCGAAGATATTAGATAGAATGCCAGAACAGATGCCACATAGAATGCTAGAATATGTGCCAGATAGAATGCCAGAAAGAATGGCAGAATAGATGTCAGATAGAAGGTTTGGTAAAATGTCAGAAAATAAGTATGTCAAAATATAGGTCAGATATATGCCTTGAAATGCCATGGTGGTGATCACTCGAAGTAAAATAGTTTTGGTACCAGTGTTCTATATGAATGGATGTGTCTGGAAATGGGGCTATACCTCCCGAAATTGCAGTTTAGTTTATATAAGAAAATGATCATAAACCTTAATCAATTGGGGTAGTCACCAACCCGCTAATAAGGATTTATAAACCCAGGATTTTGGGATTCCCAGCGTGGGATGGATGACCATACCAAATATACCGCCAACATTTGACTATGGCAGAATCAGAAGTTCTTTATAGTTATAAATAGTATATGTTATATTTCTTTCGTTCAATCCTGGGTTCCAAAAGTGAAACCAGACAAAGCCCTTTTCTTCACTATTGAAGCAAATCCCTGCAAGTCAGAAGCGTTCAGGGATGACAAGGGTCTACATGGCTTTGTCCAAGAATTGGGTACAGTTCTCCATTGAGATTGCAACCTTGGGTGTGGATCCCCAATGTCCTCAAAAACCCAAAACACCAGTTAATTTTTGGAAATAATACATATACACATATATACATATATACATACATACAGATTTACAGATATACAGATATACAGATATACAGATATACAGACATACATACATACATACATACATGCATACATGCATAAACACACATGCGCATACTTACATACATACCTACATACATACATATATATATATATATATTCATGTGCATACATTTTTATTTTTACATATATATATACTTATATATACTTATATGTATATATCTACATATACTTATATATACTTATATATACATATATTGACATATATTGACATACATACATTCATATATATATATATTTATACATATATATACGTTTATATATATAAATATACATGCGCAAATAAAATTATATGTATATATATATAGATAAATATACCTATATATATACACATATTTACATGGTTACATATTTACGTGTATACATGTTTACATACATACGTGTATACATATATGCATATATACATATTTGTTTTTACACATTTACATATTTACATTTATACGTTTTTTAAATATATACATTTACATATATATACATTTACAAATATGTAAATATTTACATATATACATATTTACGTATTTACATATATATATATACATACATATTTACATATATACTTATTTACATATTTACATATTTACATATTTACATATTTACATATATACATATATACATATTTACATATTTACATATTTAAATAAATACAAATATTCATATATATATATATATATACATATATGCATATATACATATATACTTATATACATATTTACATATATATACATATATGCATATGCATATTTACATTTATGTGAACTTGCATTTTTAAGTATGCATACCGTTTTTCCGGGGAAACAAAAAGGTTTCACATGGTTCCAGTATTCGAACTATGGCTGGCAGGTGCAGATCGATCCCAAGATCGTCAATCTTTTGAAGGGATGCTTGCAGCGGAAGCCGCGAAAGCGAACCACTGCCAAGGCTGAGCCGCTGGAAGTGGAACCAACAGCCTTTTTTGTGGAACGTTCAAGGTGTCATTAGTCAATTAGTACTATAGTAGAAAGTATTCAGATTCTGTCGGATTATGAATAGGTCTATGTATGCCTATGATGGAAGATGGCTCAATGACCTTGGGAAATGCAGATTTTGTTCACTTTTCTGGTATCAAAACCCACTCTTGTGGCCTTGCGGCTGGGAATCGCGCAGCGCTCCAGGCTGCTTTAAGCCATCCTTGGATTGTACAGGCTAGAAAACCTGATGCCGACCCTTGGATGCATTGAAGATACCAGAAGAATGTGTGAATTCTCAGAATGAGTCATGTGCGTGTGAAAATATGTGAAAGGAACTCTCTGAAGGATACCATTGCACAGCAGAATTGGCTGGCTGGCCCAGGGTTGTCCTTTTTGAAGGGAAATTGGACCATCAGACCTTCCAAAGAGGTCCACCAATTGACACCCTGCCACTCTGGCCCTAGGAGAAACATCGTGAGCCAACCGAAATTAACATCACTCCTGAGATGCTAAAGGAAGGAGGTGGGCACGTGGGCACAGAGAGATCTGAGGGATAGAAGTTTGAACGGACCTGGAAACAGTGAGTGCAGTGCAGGACCGTGCAGGACATTGCATACCTTACTTTATATACATCATATTTGTATGTACTGTACGTAAGTTTAAATATGTATATACATATTGTGTTATACATACAACTAAATGATGTACTGTACATTTCATCATAGAATTCGAAGGTCCTTTGTTGCTTGGTTGGCATCACGACAATACATCACAAAGGTAATGGCTCCTTCACGTTCGCTCCCACGATTCCATTGCTACTTGGGGGGCCAGTTTCACTGATTTTATAGCAGGGTTCATCAGACTCATAAAAGACCATTCCTTGCCTGGACCAACACGTGAGGTGGTGGCAAAGGAAAAGAACACCCAGTAACAGCACCAGGCACGTGACGTGATGTGAATCCAACAAACATGCAAGAGACATCAAGAGCTATGGCTGTTGGAATGCTGACCATTCTTGGGCCTTTGAAAGCGGTTGACCATTCTTCACTCATAGTAGACACTGTGAGGGGAGTTTGGATCGATCTTCGTGGTCTGAAGAAAGAACTGGATAGCGCTTCAAATTCCTTCTAATTCCACAGTGAATGCTATGAATGGTTGGGTAGTCTTGGGCTAGATTCGGCTAGATGATGGAGGTGAACATTTCAAGGTTTGTGTTTTTTCTGATCTTTCCAGTGCTGGTTTCAATCCCAGATTGGTTTGAAATCCCAATTGCTGCAGATGAATTTTGGGGGAACGCTGGCGGGTGCCAAACCTCCAGGAGTCCAACCAGGCGGAGCCAGTTCGAGTGGTGCCAAACGAACCAACCGCTTGCAGGTGGGCTGTCCACTCAGCTGGGGATGATTACAGTGACTCCCCGGAAGAATACACTCTGGTAATGACTAACATAGCTATTGAAAATGGCCATTTATAGTGGATTTTCCCATTGAACATGGTGGTTTTCCATAGTTATGTTAGTTTACCAGAGGGTAGGGATATCCCATGATATCCCGATATCCCCAGCTGTGGATGAAACAATGGTTTAATCAACCACCCACGACTGGGCATGGTTTACACCTATAAAAATGGTAAGGGGATGGTCCCACATGAATCAACCAGTGTAAGATGGGACACAGTTGAGGAATGCATTCGTCATGGTTCATGGCTAGGAAAAAGGGAGAGCTGCAGCCCACATGTCTAAACTTTGGTTCTTCCAGGCACCTCTGAAATCGTCGAATGTTTCCAACCAGTCTACAGGGCTTTCAAACAATGGGGTACTCCATGGTACTCCAAAATCCAGAGTTTTAGACGAAAATTGCTACTTTTTGGGGGGACACCATGACACCCCCAAATATCATGTCAACATATGCACCAGGAGTCTGCGCCGTCGGCCAAGGCCGGCCGTTCATGGGAGGCTACAGAGAGTCCACATGTCTGACATCCTTGAGACTCCCATGCATCGTTGTCCATGAAAATTCGCAGCCAAATGGGTTTGTCTGAAAATGGCGTACCTCAAATTTGATGGTGAAACAGAATCTTCCCAATTTTCTATTGGTGCAAATCCATATATATATATATAAATCCATCATTTTCAGGCCCACATGAGAGCATCGCACCTTGGTAGACTTTGTGCGACTGGTTTTGTACCTGAGAGATGGACAAAGATCATGGGTAGTCACTAGCAATGAAAGACCTCAATGATACACAGACAACACGAGAAACCAGTTTGAGTATTGGTGTGGACACACCAAGTGACACGGAACTATGTTCATTCTCTTTGTTTTTTCTGGCTGGTGGTTTAGCACGTGTCTTACTTGTCCATGCCTGTTCAGGATTTGCATGGGAGGTGCAACCACCAACCAATCCTTGTTGGTTGGTATATCATATACAACCCATGTTCATCTCCTATGTATCCCTACAATTCAGCACTATGTTCCATATCCCTAGAATTATTTTCTTCATGTTACCATAATCAGTGTAGTTATGTGCAGTTGATACTTTGGTATTCCTCCCAATATTGCCTACGGATTATATCTCCCACTTTTGTTTTCCATGTATATTATGAATAGATAGATAGATAGATAGATAGATAGATAGATAATTAGATAGATGGATAGATAGATAGATAGATCAATAGATAGATAGATAGATAGATAGATGGATAGATGGATACATGGATAGATGCATAGATGGTTAGATGGATAGATAGATAGATCGATAGATCGATAGATAGATAGATAGATATATAGATAGATAGCTGATAGATAAATAGATAAATGGATAGATAAATAATGGATATATAGATAGATGGATAGATGGATAGATGGATAGATGCAGCTGCATAGGTGGATAGATGGATAGATGCATAGATGGATAGATGGATAGATGCATGGATGGATAGATGGATAGACACATAGATGGACAGATAGATGGATAGATACATAGATGGATAGATAGATGGATATATAGATAGATAGATGGATAGATGGATAGATGGATAGATGGATAGATAGATAGATAGATGGATAGATGCATAGATGGATAGATAGATGGATAGATGATGATAGATGGATAGATAGATAAAGGGATAGATGGATAGATAGATGGATAGGTGCTTCGATGGATAGATAGGCGGATAGATGGATTGATGCATAGATGGATAGATGGATAGATAGATAGATAGATAGATAGATGCATAGATGCATAGATGGATAGATGATGGATAGGTGGATAGATGGATAGATAGATGGATAGATAGATAGATGGATATGTGGACATATGGATAGATAGATAGATAGATGGACAGATAGATTGATAGATGGATAGACAGATAGATGAATAGATGCATAGATGCATAGATGGGTAGATGGATAGATAGATAGATGGATAGATGGATAGATAGATAGATGCATAGATGGATAGATGTATATATGCAAAGATATATTGATGGATAGGTGGATAGGTGGACAGATGTATAGATGCATAGATGGATAGATAGATAGATAGATGGATAGGTGGATAGATGCATAGATGGATAGATGGATAGATCGATAGATAGATGGAAAGATAGATGGATAGATGGATGGATGGATAGATGGATAGATTGATAGATGGATAGATGCATAGATGAATAGATGCATAGATGGGTAGATGCATAGATGGGTAGATGCATAGATGGATAGATGAATAGATGCATAGATGGATAGATAGATAGATGGATAGATAGATAGATGGATAGATGGATAGATGCATAGATGGATAGATGGATAGATGCATGGATTGATACATGCATAGATGGATAGATGCTTTGATGGATATATGGATAGATGGATAAATAGATGGATAGATAGATAGATAGATTGATAGGTGGATAGATGGATAGATAGATTGATAGATGGATGGATAGATAGATAGATGGATAGATGGATAGATAGATGGGTAGATAAATAGATGCATAGATGGATAGATAGATAGATGGATAGATGCATAGATGCATAGATGGATAGATGGATAGATGCATGGATGGATAGATGCATAGATGGATAGATGGATAGGTGGATAGAATGGATAGATAGATGGATAGATAGATAGATAGATGGATATGTGGACAGATAGATAGATAGATAGATGGATAGATAGATAGATGGATGAATAGGTGGGTAGATGGATAGATTGATAGATGGATAGATAGATAGATAGATAGGTAGATTGTTAGATGCATAGATGCATAGATGGGTAGATGGATAGGTGGATAGATGGATAAATGGATAAATGGATAGATGGATAGATGGATAGATGGATAGATGGATGATAGATAGATAGATAGATGGAACGATGCATATATGGATAGATGGATAGATGGATGGACGGATAGATAGATGGATAAATAGATGGTTAGATAGATGGATAGATAGATGGATAGGTTGAAGGATGCATAGATGGATAGATGGATCGATAGATGGATAGATGGGTAGATAGATAGATGGATAGATAGATAGATAGACAGAAAGACAGATAGATAGATAGAGAGATAGGTAGAAAGATAGATAGATGGATGGATAGATAGATGGATAGATAGATGGATAGATGGATAGATGCATTGATGCATAGATGGATAGATTGATAGATGGATATATAGATAGATTGATAGATGGATAGATGCATAGATGGATAAATGAAAAGATGGATAGGTGGATAGATGCACAGCTGCATAGATGGATAGATGCATAGATGCATAGATGCATAGATACATAGATGGATAGATGTATAGATGGATAGATGGATAGATACATAGATGGATAGATGGATGGATAGATGGATAGATGCATAGATGGATAGATGGATAGATAGATAGATGGATAGATGCATAGATGGATAGATGGATAGATAAATAGATGGATAGATGGATAGGAGGATAGATGGATAGATGGATAGATGGATAGATGGTTAGATGGATAGATGGATAGATGGATAGATGGATAGATGGATAGATGTATAGATGGATAGATGGATAGATAGATAGATAGATAGCTAGATAGATAGATAGTAAGATAGATAGATGAATAGATGGATAGATAGATTGATAGATGGACAGATACATGTATATATGTATAGATGCATAGATGGATAGATGGATAGATAGATAGATAGATAAATAGATAGATAGATAGATGGCAAGATGCATAGATGGATAGATAGATGGATAGATAGATAGATGCATAGATGGATAGATGGATAGATAGATAGATGGATAGATGGATAGATGGATAGAGGCATAGATGAAAAGATGGATAGATAGATCGATAGATAGATAGATGGATAGATGCATAGATGGATGGGTGGATGGATAGGTAGGTAGATGGATAGATAGATGGATAGATGGGTAGATGCATAACTGGATAGATGGATGGATAGATAGATAGATGGATAGGTGGATAGATACAAGGATTTATGTATAGATGCATGGATGGATAGATGGATAGATAGATAGATAGATGGATAGATGCATAGATGCATAGATGCATAGGTAGATAGATGGATAGATAAATAGATGCTTAGATGGATAGATGGATAGATTCATAGATGGATAGATGGATAGATAGATAGATGGATAGATAGATGCATAGATGGATAGATGGATAGATAGATGGATAGATGGATAGATGCATAGATGGATAGATGCATAGATGGATAGATGGATAGATGCATAGATGCATAGATGGATAGATGGATAGATGGATAGATGGATAGATGGATAGATGGATAGATGGATAGATAGATAGATAGATAGATGCATAGATGGATGGATGGATAGGTAGGTAGATGGATAGATAGATGGATAGATAGATGGATAGATGGGTAGATGCATAGCTGGATAGATGGACGGACAGATAGATAGATGGATAGATGGATAGATACAAGGATTTATGTATAGATGCATAGATGGATAGATGGATAGATAGATAGATAGATGGATAGATGCATAGATGCATAGGTAGATAGATGGATAGATAAATAGATAAATAGATGCTTAGATGGATAGATGGATAGATGCATAGATGGATAGATAGATGGATAGATAGATAGATGCATAGATGGATAGATGGATAGATAGATGGATAGATGGATAGATGGATAGATACATAGATGGATAGATGGATAGATGGATAGATGCATAGATGGATAGATGGTTAGATGGATAGATGGATAGATGGATAGATGCATAGATGGATAGATGCATAGATGCATAGATGGATAGATGCATAGATGCATAGATTGATAGATGGATAGATGGATAGATGCATAGATGGATAGATGGATAGATGGACAGATGCATAGATGGATAGATGGATAGATGGTTAGATGGATAGATGGATAGATGCATAGATGGATAGATGAATAGATTGTTAGATGGATAGATGGATAGATGCATAGATGGATAGATGGATAGATGGATAGATGGATAGATGGTTAGATGGATAGATGGATAGATGCGTAGATGGATAGATGGATAGATGGATAGATGGTTAGATGGATAGATGGATAGATGCATAGATGGATAGATGGATAGATGGATAGATGGATAGATGGTTAGATGGATTAGATGGATAGATGGATAGATGCATAGATGGATAGATGGATAGATGGATAGATGGATAGATGGATAGATGCATAGATGGATAGATGGATAGATAGATAGATAGATGGATATGTGGACAGATGGATAGATGGATAGATGGTTAGATGGATAGATGCATAGATGGATAGATGGATAGATGGATAGATGGTTAGATGGATAGATGGATAGATGCATAGATGGATAGATGGATAGATGGATAGATGGATAGATGGATAGATGCATAGATGGATAGATGGATAGATAGATAGATAGATGGATATGTGGACAGATGGATAGATGGATAGATGGTTAGATGGATAGATGGATAGATGGGTAGATAAATAGATGCATAGATGGATAGATGGTTAGATGGATAGATGGATAGATGGTTAGATGGATAGATCGATAGATGGATAGATAGATGGATATGTGGACAGAGATCGGATGGATAGATGGTAGAGGGATAGATGCATAGATGATAGATGGATAGTGGATAGATGGTTAGATGATAGATGGAAGATGCATAGAGAATAGATGGAAGAGATAGTGGATAGATGGTTAGATGCGATAGATGGATAGATGGATAGATGGATAGATGGTTAGATGGATAGATGGATAGATGCATAGATGGATAGATGGATAGATGGATAGATGGATAGATGGATAGATGCATAGATGGATAGATGGATAGATAGATAGATAGATGGATATGTGGACAGATGGATAGATGGATAGATGGTTAGATGGATAGATGGATAGATGGGTAGATAAATAGATGCATAGATGGATAGATGGTTAGATGGATAGATGGATAGATGGTTAGATGGATAGATCGATAGATGGATAGATGGTTAGATGGATAGATGGATAGATGGATAGATAGATAGATAGATGGATATGTGGACAGATGGATAGATGGATAGATGGTTAGATGGATAGATGTGTAGATAAATAGATGCATAGATGGATAGATGGTTAGATGGATAGATGGATAGATGGATAGATGGTTAGATGGATAGATCGATAGATGGATAGATGGTTAGATGGATAGATGCATAGATGGATAGATGGATAGATGCATAGATGGATAGATGGATAGATAGATAGATAGATGGATATGTGGACAGATGGATAGATGGATAGATGGTTAGATGGATAGATGGATAGATGGATAGATGGATAGATGGGTAGATAAATAGATGCATAGATGGATAGATGGTTAGATGGATAGATGGATAGATGGATAGATGGTTAGATGGATAGATCGATAGATGGATAGATGGTTAGATGGATAGATGGATAGATGAATAGATAGATAGATAGATGGATATGTGGACAGATGGATAGATGGATAGATGGTTAGATGGATAGATGGATAGATGGGTAGATAAATAGATGCATAGATGGATAGATGGATAGATAGATAGATGGATATGTGGACAGATGGATAGATGGATAGATGGTTAGATGGATAGATGGATAGATGCATAGATGGATAGATGGATAGATAGATGATAAGCGTACTCAATGTACTACCCCCCAACAAATTAATATGGTAGACCCTCAAAAAGTCGCTCGTCAGGACCTGGATCCGCAGATCGTGACATCAGGCGGAACCTCGCAGGAGCCGCAATCCTCAGGCGCGACGAGTCGAGTCGCACCGTGTATCTTGATATGGGGATGGGTCAAAACCCTGGTACCTAGTGAACCCCAAAATAGCTGGGATTTACGGATGTTCATCCCACTAAATATGGTATCTATAGGTATTGACCCATACCCATATGAAACCAGGTGATTTATCGTTGATTAATAGTGGTTGATGTTTTAGTTGGCCTTTTTTCCGGTTTCTCTTGATTTAGAAATGTAGCATCTTGCGATCTTTGCAGTCCGGACCTGTAGCCAGGAGGGAGGTCTAGAAATCTTGGACTAAAAAGTGGATGTTTCGGAAAGTAGGCGTTGATCATCATGTTTTAGGAAAATGTCATAGGTTAAGGCTAGGGCAATGGTTAGGGAATGTTTTTTTTAGGGCACATACACAGAGTGGTGACAAAAAGATCGATAGATGACATCAGACGACTCAGGCAGTGGAGGAGTTGAATTTATGTTGGATCCGAATCAGGCCCGATCACCTGACTGCAGGGAGCAGGAGATGAGAATCGAGATTAATTGAGCCATAAAAAATACCATGGTTGATTGGTTTCAATAGGGGATGATACATTACTAATGTAACCAAGAAAATATTTTGGGTGTTTTTGATGGCTCAGTTTTGTGGGGATATGCCAAAGCAATCCAAAGGAATGAACATGAAACCACATGACTCCAAACGCAGCACAAACCCGTGGAGTGCCATCTTGTTTGGTTTGTATTGTGCTCAAACTCAACTAAGATTTTAGCCACGATTTATTTGGAGCAGGATGTTTTCATCTCCCGGCCCTGACCGTCCTGATCCTTCTCAGAGAATTGACTGGGTTTTACCTTTTGGGCAGTTGCAACATCTTTGAACCCCCAATTCCTGGAATTTGACATGACTTGACCATGAATTTTGTGCCTCGGGAAGCTCACCGGTCCCAGGCTTTGGAATTTCAAGATATGTATTTCGATTGGAAGCGCCAGACCTCCACAGATAGTACCGCATGGTCGCACCTCGGCTGGGACGAAATCCATCTACATCGATGCAATTGGACAATGGTAAAGATGGTGATCAATGGTTACCATGGTTCGAGTTGATACGTTTATATTTCCTGTGACTATGAAGTTTAATATAGTAATATATTTTTTCACTCTGGCACACAGGTGCAATGAAGCGGCGGCCAAGCATGTCAATTCAAAGCGTGGTGAGAAAATGAAAAACCCCGGTCAGCCATTCTGTGCATAATCCGGCCCGATGAATTCCTGGAAATCCTGCTGCATATTCACACAGCATGCTAAGAACTCTGGATCGACCTGTATGTCGGCAGAGCTAGCACCGCTGACAGCATCAAACGTCGCCTGTGCAAGTGCGCCGCTGAAAGCTGGAGGATACTCCTTGAGCTGGGCCGTGCAAAATTGGCCGGTGGCGTCACGTCCGATGTTCGCGCGCTTCGGAACATCCGGTGTGACTCGCCACTGGATAATGGCTGCCGGTAAAGTTGGAAGATTAAGAGCCAACAGTTCAGTGGGTTTCATACTGTCAGCTCCGAGCAATCCCTGAGACAAGCAAATTCTTTGCATGCCTGGAAGGCCTAAGAGAACCTGCACAATTGGCAGCTTCCAAATCGATGGCATGCCCTCATCGTCAGGCTCAGCGGGGTGCTCAAGAATGCCAGCCCGAGCTTGTAGTGCAAGTTCACCAAGCGCACGCAAGCAAAAGCCCAGCAGGACGTTGCCATCGATGACTTGAGCGAGCTCCCGGAGGGCAAGCGATGGCAATCCCCAGAGGTCTTGTGCAGAACGAACTGGACGCGGGCCTCGACGATCACGTGAGAGCGTCTCTTGCGAGATGTCCACAGCACGAGCCTTCGACCATGTGCAACATGGAGGGCCACCAAGAAATGCGTGGACCCAGCCACAGCGGATCCCGTGGAGCCAGTATTGCTGGACATCATCCCGTGACAAATCGCCATAGTGCTCATCGATGATAATGTCAAGTGATACAACATGGAGCGTGATGCCCTCAACAGATGTCATGAGCTGCTCCAAGTACCATTGGTAGTCACCAACACGCCTACGACCTGCAAAGGCGTGAAGCACAATGCGATTCTTGCCAACTGGTAATGGAATCTGCTGAGCAGTCCAAGCGTCACAAGCATCCACAACTCGAAGACACCAGTCTGTGTAATGAGTCAAATCATCAACTGGGCGAGCAACGTCCCGGTAATCATCACGCAAAAACGGCCAATGATCCGGACACAGCAGATTGTCCACAGCTCTGAAAACAGTACACTGTGAAACTCCAGTGATCGTAGCAAGCTCCTCACCAAAACCTGCACGAAAAGCACGAAGTGTCTGCTGGCATCTGGTCCATGAAATAGGGAAGTTCTTAATGGCCTCTTCCATCTTCTGCTGGAGCTCAGAAACACCAATCTCCTGCTGAAGAATTTCAACCCACAAATCAATAAGTTCTGCATGCTCTGGATCGGGATCAATCGGTGCACGAGCTGGCAAAACAGGGCCCTGTGCCTGTAACGGCGGGACCAAGCCATCATGTGCACGTTGTTCATTTTGTTGTTCAACTGAGCCAATTCCTGCCTGGATCTCCGTCTGAAACCGTCGAGCTTGCAGAGCACCACGGCATGCTCTGCATCTCTGAAGGTGTTGTTGGAGCTTACCTCTCGTATGATATTCGCGCAGGCAATGTGCACACTGCGTGCCATGGCAAAGCTGCCGAACATCTGCCACAATTGCATGACACTTGAAGAAATGCGCTCCCTCTCCTCCACGGCTTGCACATCGCTTCGCACAGAGCATGCATCCATATTTGTCAGGCTTGTCAAAAGGCTTGGCATAGTCAGGGGCCTCGGCACCTAACTGTCCATGCTGTTGCAAACTTGCAAAAATATCTCTGTGAATAGCCCCCACAAGCTGGCGGTTGCGTCGCTGTTGAATTGCGTGAGCCGTAGCTCGATTCACAAGTCGCTTCCAATAATGGGGGTGGTACTTCAGGATATACTCCCATGCCCGAAAGTGCTGCTTTGGATCTTCAAGTCCACTACAATGATACAGCTGCGCCCATAGCCATTCACAATCATCTTCAACCAAATGCAACCACTCCATGTCTTGATTGATGGCGCCCCAATCCATAGAACTTGCACCTTGGTACAGAGTGCCGAGGTAGCGAAGTCTGGCACGTCTGAGCACTTCAGTAGGACTGGGCGTCATACAACGCGTCAAGATCTCCTCATCAGAGAAATGTTGATCATGAGCTACTCCAAGCAAGCGTCGGTAGAGCCGAATGAGACCAGCATGGACAGTAGCTTTGCTCTGGTTGTCTGAAAGTACCCATGTCTCACTGCCATAGTTGAAGCCACTCATGACCAGCGAGTCAAAAATTTGGCCACGGACACGTTGATCAATGTGCCTATTGCAGAAGAGAACTCTGCGATGGCGCGTGAAGGTTTGGTGCGCTGCAGCAAGTCTCTGCTTGGCCTCAAACTTCAGGTTTCCGGTGTGATGTACAACGCCTCCAAGATGCTTGTATCGGCCAGTGACCCTCACAGAAAAGCATTGATGTTCACCAATGGCCGTGAAGCAGTGGGAGCTGTTAGGACCATGAAAATGCTTCTGCCAATAGCGTGAGCGGGCTCCACGCAGTGTCAACATCACTTCTGTCTTTCCAGCATCAGTGTTAGGTGTCATTGCATGGCCCAAGCACGTGTCCATCAATATTGAAATCATGACACCAAGGCGTTGCACAAGCTCATCTGCAGTAGAACCAGAAAGGCATATTGCAAGATCATCCATCCAGCATGGCCCGAGGTAAGCTCTGGGTGCATCCTCAGTAGGCGAATTGTGGCCAAACAGCGCACAGCCATCAACAGCATGAACATGATCCAAGATCTGCATATTGCTGAGCTCGCCTTCAATCTGTCTCAACACCTTGGCCCATAGGTAGCCAAAAATGGTGTCAGCAAAGCAATCACCTGGCCTACTCCCAACCGATGTTCGGCAGACATCTGTTTGACCCTCGACGTAAAACCACGTGTCACTGTGCAGAGCTGTCAGGTAGTTGCGGACATGGTGTGGCAAGCCAGCGGCAGCAACAGCATTGGGCGCACGCAAGTGGTCATAGAGATCAGCAAGGGCTCCATCTGGTAATCGAAGCCTCTGTGCGAGACTTGCAATTTCCGCATCTGTCCATGGATTATCCAAGGTCAGTGGACGCAAAATGCGATAAAATGCTTCCTTGAGATCAAGGTACAAGATGCCGCACGAGCGTCCTTCTCTTTGTTGATGCCTCATGTATGAGCGCAGATGATGAAGCCCCAATGTGACAGGAACTCCTCGTCGGCCTCCGATCTGTTGATTCTGCATGAATCTCTCATACAAAACCGTCTGATGTTGTCTGAGAGACCTGTGCAGCACTTTGCCCTGGTGCGAGGATATCAACAGACTCCGATAAGAGTCACAATGGTCAATCGGACCCTTGCCTTTATGCGCCTGGACCAGCTGGCCCCCTTTATGTATGGCAGCCTCATGCCCATGGAGGGCGAGCTTGAGCAATTGAGAATAGGAGAGCCAAGCCAGCTCTTTGGCATTGTATGCACATACTTCAGGCGGAACAGCATCATGACCTACCGCCTTGCCAGTTCGTACACGAGCAAATGCACGTTCAAGGTCACAAAGTGTCGGCAGGTCTTGAAGTTGCAAATGAAAGTCAGGTTGGCTAAATTGTTGGAGGTTCTGGCGCCATCGATGTCGAAGTTCATCAGGCGACATCCTCAGACCACCCTCCATAGCTCCAAAGAACTCAACCCATCTGTCAATCATTTCCTGTGGATCAGCACACAAACGTCCATCTTCTCGTCGCACAATGGGCAAAGATCTGCGCTTGATCTTCTTTGGGTTCGTGGGCCCCACAACATTATGAACTTCCTTCAGCACAGTGGAAGCAGATGTGTTGGGGGGCAGCTGCTTCAGTCGGTCAGCCAGAAAAACATGTTTGCTTCTCTTGAGCATTGTCCGCAAGGATCTCGTCACCACAAATTGAGCTGCAAGGAGCTTGGTCTCAATGCATCGAAGAGTGGTCTCATAGTTGAAGGCTAGCTCGCAGTCTTGTTGTGACATTTGTCGGCGCCATAACCTCCAGCTCCGGAAGAGCAATTCCAGTTTGAACCTTCGACGCAATCCTCGCAAAGACTTGCTCAGGTTCAGCTTGTCCTGACGCAAAGTCCATATCATAGGATCAACATAGGGCTTTTTGCTGCATGCTTTCCTATGCGGATGCATATACTCAAGAGCCTGCATCAAGTTTTGGGTGTAATCAGCAACATGTCTCTCAATGTCATCATCCCAGGCATTGACAACCTGCTGGCTGAGTACCAGATTCAGACTGCCGCGTGAAATGGATTGTCGATCATAGGCGGTCTTTTTCTGCTGACTTCTTCCAGTCGCTGTCTGTTGCCACGTCATCCAAGTCAACTGTAAAGCAGACGCCAGATGGTCCAGCTGAGCTGTGCCAAGATCAAAGTCAGACAAGACGCATGAATAAGTGCAGGATGGGAGAAAATCACAAGGCACTGCCACAAAATCAATGCGGCACTCATGCTGTCCATCCGGCGAAAACCATGTCGCTCTAGACCCATGATGGATCTGGTGCGTTGCCGGCAGGCAGAGATCATGGAGCTGAAGGAAGTCTCGCATCAAATTTGTGCTGGCTGTAACCGCATCATCATAAGGCCCAACATGTGGAAGGGCACATGGGCCACTGGCTGCATTGGCGTCAAGCAGGCAAAAGACTGCTTCTTGGGGTGTGAGTTTGCATTGTGCCAGAATCTGGGCAAACTGAGTCCACCATGCCGCACGTTCCGTCCGTGGACATCCACTTTGGGGTGCATGGGCAACAACAAGAAGACCAGCCAGTAAGGGATGCTGTACTCGGGCAATGAGGATGCGCGGTGTTGCATGAACCACGACAAAGTCCTGGCGCTTCAAATACTGTGGC